GTCTACCGTATTCATCAACTGCATTACCGTGCCCGTCTTCGTAGAAAATTTGAAAGCTCATATTGTAATACTCGGTTTTTAATGAGAAAGGAAGTAAAAAAAAAAAAAAGATCTAACGGTGCTTTCGTGCTTAATATACTCATATTTTGTACGACAGGGCTCCTACATATACGACATTCAATTTGTCAGCAAGCGAAATCAGCCAATGGTTTACGTGACAATAGAATTTAACGAACGCGAATTTTACTCTTGGCATCGGTGTCAATAATTTTTGGAAATACTGTATAGCCAACCTTGGCCTCGCCAAAGCCAATGGAGTGGCCAAGATCGTGCTGTACAAGCGTGAAGATAACGACATCAGGGAGTATATCAGTTTTTACATCAGACTTGTTCGCCCATCGTAAAGCAACATTGCGATCTTGATCAGCAATGATCTCAGATAGCAACGCGTCATAGTAGGTTGATTGCAGCTCCACTTTCCAAAAATACTCTTTTACAAACTACTTTATATATGTATATATATGTATTCTTTCTTTCTTTCCTTTATCTACTACTTAAAAAACCAAGAAGAATTGCAGAATTTAAAAATTCAAAATCACTTTGTGACCGATCATATCAGTACTTTAGTAAAACTGATCTACAGTTTCATACAAAAAAGGAAGTGGAAGTACGTGTATAAATATGCTGAGTTAACGTTTTCCTTTTTTCTTTATAGTTTAAAATATCTAAAAACAAGTTTGGAAATGTTACTGTAACAAGAAGCGTAAGCTTCGGTGTTTACAACAATGGTGCTATTAGGGCAGAGCTCAGTGTCCGACAAGCTAGACAAGTTTATTTGTGTGTCTCTTTTAATAGTGGCTTGACACTTTGATTGTTGAAGAAGGTTGTAAAGGAAAGAGTTCTTTCGGTATCCGGTAAGGAAATATATATTCGTAGTAGCAGCAATGTAGGCTAACTGCTTATAGGCACTGGAAGAATAAACGAAAGGACAACGTGCGGACGGCATATACATCAACAATGTTTTGATGTGGAGGAAGTTTACTGGGTTGACGAGAAAAAAACCATAAAAAAAGAAGTCGAAGATGGTAGCTTTGAGGCTGCAGCAGTGCTGAAGCATGTGCTTCAGTACTGGCGGGACAATGACGTTGTCCGGAGTTACGTGGAGCGCGAGGTTTGCCTCGAAAAATCCAAGCCGTTGATGACTGAATCAGGAGTAGAGGTGAAAAATGTCGAAGAGCCAGAGGAAGTGAAGAAGAAGGCCAACAAACAGAAGAGAAAGATGACATCGGAGAAGCTATCGTTTTTGCTTTCGGGGGTGAAGAAGAAGAGCGGTGATGCATCGAAGACGCTGTAGTGCTGGGCTGCCTATGTTGTTGTGGTTGTTGTGTTTGTCGTTTTTTGTTTTTGCTCGGCCGCTTTTAGAAATAAATCAAAATGTAACGTATTGTGTTGTATTGATGAACGTTATTTCTCTTATTTTGAATACGTTTCTTTAAAAGTAAAAGCGTATTCTTTAATCAAACACCCACTCAACAAATCCTAGTGTATGTATTCTTGCAAATCAGTATCCAACAAACTATCAAAGACTTTCCACGGCTGCGTACAATTTTTCAAAATTATTATGTACGAAAGTGCTCTACTGTGTTCTCCCTTGGTAAATCAATAAAAAAAGCAATAGTAACATACAGCCGTCTCCATAAAGCTAACTGAGTAACTCTATATTTTTCTTTTTTTCACACTAGGAATACTTTTCACCTATGTCTCTTCAACTATTACATTTACAGTAGACTTTTGATGACGGAATATCTATCAGGATCACAAATGAAATTCCATAATCAAGGGTATTCTGTAATAAAGCTTATACATCGACAATCCAGGCGAATACTGCAGGAAATTTAAAGCGGCGGTTGTGAAATTCTTCGAAAATAGTATCCCAATATCACGAATATTCCATAATCGAGAGTCTACTGTATTTCATATAAAAAAAGAACATTTTTAAATTTCTACCCTCCAAACACCTAAGGCAGCCATGACTGACTGAGAAAGTCTTTAAGAAGAAGCTATGCTACTACTATTTGTTGAAGAATCATTTGCTTGTGTATCTTCGCTTGTAGGATCACTACCAGACGTTCCTGTAACCATTTGTCAACTAAAGTCCAAACCTTGCTGAAAGAAGTCAACCATGAACTGCTGAATCGTGCTGTTAATCTGCTCCTTGTAATTTTTGGCGTTGTTATTTTCAGCTCTTAAAGCCTAAACTTCTGTTGGCGAAGCAATGATTCCAGTCCATACAGCAGATGTTGGCTGAAGCTTCTTGATTTGTTCTTCTGAACGTATATTCTCAACAGTTCACAAAAGAAAATACCAAAACTTTTAGTTCTTGAAAAGGTTCCATGACAGCACGAGGGAGGAAATGGTTACTAGAGGTGGAGAAAATACTAGCGATTATGCACTTAGCTTGCTTAGGCGAGCTATTAAGATAACAACATACCGTACGATCTTTACTCCAACGAACCAACCGTCTTTATTGGTTATCAGAAACCATGTTGTCATTAATCAAGTTAACACACTGCCACGATTAACGTGAGTAACTTCGAAGGAGTGAATACTCACTGCATTAAGAGCCCTCTTGTACGTCTTGTACTGTTTTTGATAGGTGATTTCTTCAAAGTAATTTCGGCCATTCAAGACAAGATGCCATATCATTTTTGCCGTGTCCAGATATTACAGTCGTTCCACTGCCAAAATGAGGACATACTAAAAAAAACTGGTTGTTTGAAGTTAATTTCGCGGATTGTGAGCCACGTCTTTCTAGCAAAAGGATCGGGTTTTTCGTCTATAACGTCCATAGCTTCATTTGCATTCTCATCGTAAATATTCACCTTGCCATCTTTTTTAAAAATACCTTGCTTTGGAAATCTTTTGAATTTTCGCATTTGAATGCTGCCAACAATCATACTAACCAGACCTCTTTTTCATACAGTTCCTCAATTTTTTGTATTATATATTATTATTCTATGCTTGCATTTTACTATATATAAACATTAGAGATAATGCATATTATATAGACTTTCAATATTTGATTTTATTACAAAAAAGTAGCGATGATCATTGCTGCTGTTGTTAGGCTCTTTCATTACTGATCTTAGCTTATCAAGGGAGACACCCATTCAAAAGTAATGGTTGAAATCAAAGCAATACATTCTGATATTCCTTGATTTTCTAGTAGAAATACTAAAAAGAGAAAGTATAGCATAAGGATAGGACTTATAGTAGTTTCAAAGATGCTTGATGTAGAATTAAAAGTAAAAAGTGTACCTCCCTCTTTTATAGCTTTTTGAAGCCTTGGTGCCTTGATTTTGTTAATTACTATATCAAGAAAATAAGCCAGGCCTCATCTTACTGGATAAGCCGTCTTCTAAATGTTATGAGCCTTTGTAGGCTATTACTACGGTAATTTTTAAGGTATTTTTATTTTTAGGCTGACAGACTAAAAAATACTTTTTCAAGGATTTTTGAGTTTCGACAGGTATTTTTTTGAGTCAGAGTTGAGACTGAAGGTTTAGATACAGCCTCCCTTTCTTCTTCAGACACATTAAAAGAGGGATGTAGTTTTAGTGATAAAAAACCATCATTTGCTCAATTCCAGCACAAATAATGATTAGTACTTGATATTCTATTTGAATAAAGAAAGAGTAAGCAACAAGCTTGCTATCAGTTTATATTAAACTTACATTGGCTTCACAATGTGCCTTGACTTGATCAAATACTTTAAGTAGCTTGCGTCTAGCGCCTAAAGCTGCAACACCCTTTGCAAGAAGTTCTTCGTCGCTCAACCTGAGCATGTCTTGCCATTTCATCTTTTCAAAAATAGGATTGTATTTATGCAATCGTAAGCTTCTGAGCCAAGCAGGTACATCTATTAAGTATAAGTATTTATATTATTTACATAAATTAAAGCCTACCTTCAAGCAACTGCATATCCACCATGTCGCTGTTTTTCTTTTCTTTTTGCTTGTGTCCATTCGTATGATGACCAGAAGACTTTCTTCTAGTATTTTTTGATGTTGCACTACGGTAAGAGTGGTCACTGTGATCACTGGTATATCCATTCTCATGTTCTACGCGATCATTAGGATTCAAAAATTGGCCATATTGTTGTTGCTTTCCATTTGATCCACTTGATGATCGATATCTTGGATTGCTTTGGGAAGGAATGGGTGATGTAGACCGAGAAATGACCTGGGACTGTGCGCCATTGTCCGAGGGGAGTAGGGTCTGGTTACTTTTATCATCGTCATACACAGACAGCAAAATGTTGGCTGATGGTGCAGCCATGGAGTACTTTTCGTCAGTTTCTGACACTGTGCTTGGAACGCTCGTTCTGCTGATCACTCTACTACGTCTATTATTATTACTACTGTCATAACAATAAGTATATACACATGATGACATAAAAAAATATCCAACCTGCCAACCGAATTTAGGCCCCAATGACTGAACTGCTGTTCTACATCTGATAGAGACGCATTATCTGACTTCTTGACATGATCATTAAAATTAGCCACAGTGGGAGACAAAGTAGACCAACCACTAAGAGGATCCTTATCACGCAAACTCTTGGAGCTAACAGAGGAAGTCAGGTTGAATGACCAGTTGGAAACGTCAGCTGATTTTGGTCTGCTTATGGCCCCAGTGCGATGATTTTGCTGGTTAACAAGACCAGCTGTATAAGGCCAATCCTGACTAAAGATAGACGAGAGCTCATCATCGAGTATGACTGACTTTGGTCTAGCTGAATCAAACATACTTGAACGTTTTAAGCCATCGTCTCTGATAGCAAAGTTCGGCTGAGGGTTTAAAAGATCAACGGCTGAACTTCTAGAGAACAAGCGGTCGTATTCTTCTGTATCTCCTAGGGCAAATGAATGTCTGTCGATGTGATTACGTCTACCAGTGACGTGAGATCTATTGGCAACCTGCCCAGTTTGATAGGGTAAAATTGTCATTAATTTTTGACTAGCTTCAAGCTCTGCTTTTGCCATAGCCCCAGCCAGCTGAGCCTGCATATCAACTAGAGAGAACATATGAGTTCATGCTTATGATACATTTTTCTCTCTTACCTTTGTCGGGATGAGGTGATAATAATGCGCCTAAAGGATCCCTGTTACTCATTTGTTGTAAAACAGTAATGAAGAATCTGATTTGCACTTGAGATGAGTGTTGCAATAAAGTATAGATGGTAGCTGTACGTTCAGCTTCATTTAAATAACGAAACCATTGGTCAACATGCTGTACTTCTTCTTTAAATTTAGGATCTACACTTGCAGAAGCCATAGATTCCAAGTTACTTTCATACTGTTGTAAATCCTCATACCATTTATCCAAGGCTTCAGCTAAAAATATATTAAATTAGTAACAATGTACCTTTGGTTATTGATGTTATTACTCTCCGGAGAAATAAAGCTTTCACGTTTTAATATTTCGGAAAACGGCCTTGGTTGCTTTGATCCAGTGGGTCTTTCGGACGCAAGATTAAGAGATGAAGTGTAATCTGCAAGTGGTTTATTCCCTTGAACAGAAGATGTCTCTCCATTAATAAGAGTAGAATATAATTCGTTCAAGTGTTTTCTTTGAAAAGTAGGCTGAGTTGACATGACACAAAGAAGAGTGGAAGGGTATAGGGTATAGCAAATAAAGAAAGAGAAAGAAAGAAAGAAAATAAAAGGGAGCTTCAAATAAAATAAAAATGCTACGTAAATGGGTTTTACAAAGAATAACATCATCACAAGTCATAAATCGTTACTTTATTCGTTTATGCCGCCATTTTCTCTCTCTTTTTCTCTCTTTCTCCCTTTCTTTTATTTATCACTTGACGATGGAATAGTATAGAGCATATGTAATGTCATGACGAAATGCCTTGGATGATAAGTCACAAGGATCTGGACCTTTGAAAAGATGATGTACTGTTTACTTTTACGGTAATTTCTTGATTTCATGAGCTAAAGGAACAGACTACATAGACGCACTACAAAATATGCCTATAAATAGATTAACATTTGGGAGGCTAACACACAGTCCATTTCTAATTCTTAGAGTGTACGTATCCCTTCCCCTGACTTAACTAATGCTTATATCCTGATTCATATTTGTATTAAAACTGGGGTTTTACTTATTAGCTGAACATTGGCTAAATAAATGAATATTTACAGATTGAAATCTGTCTTCTAAGGTGCACAGCATGAAAGCTAAGAATGCTTGACAGACTTTGCTTCAATTCTGTATGATCGCTTCTTCATATCAACTATTACAGACAGTAATAAACCATAGAAGGGTTTTGAACATATTTATCAAGCTCATGTATACTTTTAATGTATATCAAGTCAAAGCGAGAAACGTAAACATAAAGACGATTTGAATACAAATGTGTTGACATCGCACACAGAGAGAGATCTACATCATTCAAGAGTGCTGCTCATAGTGCTGCTGAATTCCAGTCAACTCGGAGCAGGTTGTTGTATTTACTAAAGAAAGTTATTAGTTTAAAGGAGCAGAAATCCGTTGACTGACAATTTAGAGAAGGGAGAAAGAAAAAGAAAGATTTAATACTAAATGGGAAATGTTATCAGAGAAGAAATATTTGGAACTGCGATACGTTCATATTATTTTCATAATGTAAACGGATTCATTGCAATGGTATTTACTAGATGTCTGCTATCAAAAATGAACGAAGGAATAAAAATAAGCATGCATGCAGTTATCGCGCAAAAAAGAAACAATTCTTATAAACTACTAGCCTCTTCATTATGCATAAGCGTAGCAGTCACACGACGTCATGCGCAAGGGGTGAGGCGCATGATGTAGAACAGGCTGAAGTTTCAGCTTAAACAGACCGTTGCTACCATTGTTAAAACATTACCTTACCTTCCACTACTTTTATTGATTCTGTGTTTATTAAGGAAAGGAAGGGATGAAATAGGCATTTTTGCAATTTCAGATCAACGGTGCCTTTTTCTAGTAACCTGTGAGAAAATCAAGAAGAGACGATATGTTTCAGTAAGAAAAATGCTAAGTACAGGGTACTGTGTGACAATAAGAAAATCAATTCAAAAAAGAGACCTTTACCTCTTTCTTTCTTTTTACTTTCCAGCTTTTCCCTTTCACCATTGTACAACATGAAAGGACAACAAAAAGGATTGAATATTTTAAATCCTTTTTATTCTGCTCCAACAACCATGTCCGCTTCAATCCCTTTTCCCATCGATGATAGACCAACAAGGGAATATAAAGTAGAGAATACAAGTCAATTAGACCTAGACGATCCTTCAACTTATAAACCAAGATCAAATGGAATCTATATCGATGTCATATTTCAACAAGCTATTTGTTCTGGTTGGCTAACTAAGCACAAGGCACCTACGTTTGCTTTCATGAAGAGTGTCAAGAAAAGATTTATTGTACTTGTTGATCGTATGCTCTATGCGTTCAAGTCAGAAACACCTAATACTTATCGAGAATTCTTCGAGATCACTAAGGACACTCATGCTTATGTCACAGATCATATATCAGGTGTGCCATATTGCATCGAAATCAGAAAGATGGGATATGACGACTACAGTAGTAATAGCAGCTGGTACTTACAAGCTGAAGACGTAGAAACGATGAAAAAATGGTTAAGCCATATTAAACACGTTATAATCTGCTTAAGAGAAGAAAAGGATACTAACAAAACGATAACAAGAGAAAGACTGAGAGCAGTCAACACAGAAGAAGAAGAGTTCTCCAGATTATCAACAAGAGTTATCAATGACAATTCCACTTCTTCTACTGATAGCTCTTCCGTCGACACTACCGATTACATGTCTAGAAAATCATCATTAAAAATTAATACGGGTAATTTACCCCCTCAACTGCCTCCACCAAAATCACTTCCTCCACCTACTCCATCTTCATACTCTTACTTGTAAGACCTATTTAAAAAAACATACATATATTTATACATTACATTCTGCATTTTCCTCCTCCTTTACTTCAACTAATACACACACTTGCTCATTCTGCATTCAAGCAAAATAAAGAATTAATAAATAAATCTATTGCCTTGCTTTTACTATAACGTCTTTCTTCCCCACATTTAGTTTATTGTTAACTTTAAACTTGTTGATCCAAGAACTGCTTGCGAACAAATCACAGCTGCAGCTCGTCTACCGTTATTTCCCATCTGAGAAGCAAATAGTAAGGATTATAAAAGATGCTATTCCCCTCAAAAAAATAAGTGTATTGTATTAAAAATTAATGGCCTCGCTTTATAAAACTCTTTTAGCAATGCTCTTTTTCTTTAGTTAAAATATAGTTTCCCACCTTTACTCTTTAGCCTAGTGAATGCATCTAATTGAAAGGGCGCTCGTGGTAACATATTTGTCTTACTCTTACAAATACCATTTCTTTTTTTTTTTTAAAGGCCAACAGGGGATATTGATAGTTAATTAAATGTCAATAGTAAATCACTTTATATCGCATCCTGGTGTTTTTCAGGAGAATATCAGCTAGCTGAAATAAAAGTCTCCATTTTATCTATGTATCACTGGTTTTATCTACTCCTCACTTTAATCAATAGATAAGATCTTTGGTAATTAACAATAAAAGGAAAATGTAGCACTGGTAATCCAAAGTCAAACTGAACGTGTGGTCTACTTCTCACACACGGAAAATAACGGACGGGATGAAGGCTGTACTGCATTTTCCCTCCAAGTTTATTTTGCGGCACCCAGTTGAAATTCAGCGAGAAGTGCATTGGTAATGTCTAAGAACAAAAGAAGAAAAGCCATGCACTTTAAACTTGGGACAGACGAAGCAAATATACAATGCACTATTTTATTTTATCTTTTTATTTACTTCTCATTTAGCCCATTCTTATTCATATTGGGATGAATAAGCAGACTTTGACAGATCAATCACTATAAAAGCAGATCAATTGAAAAAATGATAATCATAAACCAAGTGTATTTTAGGTAGAATGGTACTGTATTTTTCAGATGATTTGGTAAAGAATAAATTGAAAAATTTGACAAGGAACAAATGGAATTGTCAAAATACAGCAATAACCACATTTTACCTTTTTCTTTTTGAAACTTTATAAAAGTCATATTCTATGCCAAGAAGCATGGAAAGATGTCTGTTCCTAAACAAGTTTAGTTTGACGATACACATTCAAAAGGCTTGGTGACGACATCATAGGTAGCGTTTATAACATTAACCCTCTCGTGAATTTCTTCGTGCGTGTAGTGTACACCTAAAAGTAATGCAACAAAAGCTTGAAAGTCCTAACTTTTGTTATATGAAAAAATAGATTGATCACACCAATCATGAAGAAATTTGGTAGGTAGACGGCAATGAGGATGTATTGGAGGCATGGAAGCAGTAATTTGATGCTCATGAAGGTCATCCGTTCTGGTAAGCTGATAAAACTGGAGACCTTGATAAATTGGCTTGCATTTTATTAATCAGGCAAACATTTGGTGCATTCAAAAATGCACTTAAAAATAAACTAATGCTACGGGCGCTTCCTTGGAGCGCTATATGTGGCGTCACTATACAGCTTCACACTACTAAAGTCTCTGCCTAACTTAAGGCTGTCCAGTTCACGCTCTGATATAAAATGTGAATGAATCATAATTACACGTGTTCTTGCGCCTTTGTTGATCAAACTGACAATATAAAATTAGAATAAAAAATAACAGCATTTCTTTTTTATCCCTTTCTTCTTTTTGAAAAGAAACAATGTAAGATGGTAACTTCATAAACTCATGTTTAACTTGACGCTACATATTCAAAAGCTTTGCTGACGACGTTACAGGTAATGGGTAGAGGTAGCGCCTGTAGTATTAGTCTAACTTCTGGTGTATTTTCTGGTGCACCAAGTGCTTGCCTTACAAAAAACTAATTTTTTGTGTAGATACATACGTAAAAAAACAAGCCATATATTTCAATCAGCGAATCTATGTACAACTACAAACTAATCTGGCCATTATTGCAACTTGTTGCCAATCACCTGGACGTTGCCTTTGAGCCTGGTGAGGCGATCTTAGGGTCATCCTCTGACCAAATGTACAATGCCGATGACCTAATCAAAGTTGGTACGGATAATGCTTTAGTCCTCGAGACGTCTGGCCTTTACGAGTTGCATGATAAACCTCGCTTCGGATACAACCAGATCAAGGGGATCTTCAGGGCATTAACGATGCTTAGATCTGTGGTCAAAAAGTACCATTTCGCGACAATAAATACACTGAAGCAACTAAAAGTTTTTTTTATACGCCAGAGGTAAATTGTTTTATATTTAAATGGCTTAATTATATGAATGATTTACGAAAACTGTTAGGTACGAAGGTGCATCTCTGGTCATTGGGAATGCCCGGAGATGATATCCAAATATTACAATAGATTGCCATCTCTGATGTTTTTGTACAAGCAGACGAAGCAAAAAAAAATCTTGACCTTGGTATACTAGTGTAGAAATTAAATGTAAACTGGGAAAAAAAAAGCAGTGATAATTAACGAACTAGTTCTCTTGAAAAAGACTTGCATTGATTACACGGAGACTATTATCAACAGAATGAAACACGAGCACAGCGACTACATGTTGTCGTTGCAAATGAATGATGATGCTGAAGAGCGACCCAATTTAAGTGGATGGGTCGTTCAAAAGATACAAAAGCCTGAGAAGGGCAAAGAATTTGGTTTGCTGCTTCCAGAAGAATTCGAGGAGTTTAAGGTCGCAAGAAAAATAGTTGGTTGTTGAAAGTATAAATTAATGTATTGTGTTAGCGTTCATCATTGTTTTAGCATCTTCTCAAATCATTTATGAAACTTTCTTTTTTGATTTATTTTACCATGACAATAGTATATTTCAAACTTTTCTACAGCATGGGGCTAAACAATAAAATAATGCAATTTTATTGAGCCAAGGCCAAGAGTGAAGTAACTTTAAAGTCAAAAATAATCAAAGGAAGCGCCAATTTGGAATAGAAGAGCAAAGATAACGGAAATACGATGGCTTGTTACGGTATTAATAACTGTGATTCATGCGCATTTTGTGTGCGTGTTAATAAAAAGCCTAATAGCCTTTTTCATACTTTCTGGTTTTCTTGCACGCTTCACTCTCACCAATGAATATGATAAGCAAACGTATCTGGGAAAAAAAAGTGGATGACAATGTCAATTGAAGAGACAGCAAGTGAAAAAGCAACAGCAAAAAGTTGACTTCTTGCCAACATAGTTTGAGGGCGCGGTTAACACAGGGATAGTGTTCAAGTCTATAACGATTAAGCTGGAATAACAGTGTCTAAGCTTTCAAAGTTCCTCACTTAGAGAGTGTAATGGCCACCTTGCGGTCAGTTCCAGTCTTTTAGCAGATGCAAAAGCTAAAATTACATTCTGTCATACTTTCCTAGTATTTTCTTGAAAATTAGAAATTAACATGTATGAAAAAAATAACAGAAATTGTTATTTCATCTAGTTGGTTGTAAGTTGATCGAGGATGCCTTGACGGTATTCAAATATCTGAGGAATTTTCTCAACAAACAGCTTAAGCTCTGTAGGTGTCGAAGGACAAGTTAATACAATGTAAGTGCGTTTGATATAATAGTCTTCATAGTAAGTCAAGGACTCAAAATAGATATTCAAATCTAGATAAAAAATGTATTTTGTTACTTAGCTATAAAATATTGATAGAGAAAATTTTCAAAAGAAGTGATTATTTTACCGTGATATCTTATATAAAACTGACTTGGTATTTCAATACCTTCAGCTTTCTTCACTTTTAACGTTTTGATAAAATGCTTGATCAGTTTTTCTTCGTCTCCTATTTCTTTGTCAGCGCCGCTGTTAAAATCAATGCCTCCTGATAACTCAACAAAAAACGGTGTAATCTTCTTATTTTTTACAAGAAAAGCAACACCATCCCACTTTACATTTCCTGTTGATCTTGCTTGTCGTTCAACCCTATGTAGTGTATGAGTTATATGCTAAACTGACTTTGTTGTGAAAATAAGTCATAAGCTTACCCACTGCATATCAATTATATCATTATATGAAATAAACAAGTTATGTAAAATTGGAATAGTAGTGAGAAATGCTGTGTTCCGCTCTAGCTGTTGCTGTTGCAATGGATTTCTGGGGCTATCTATTAGGTTGAGGCTATTTCCGTAGAATTTAGATAGAACTAATTTGGTTATTCTCAGTTGAGCAACCTATAAATATGTTCAGATTAACTCTGTAAAATTCAAATCATCATGGAGCACGAGATCGAAAGGTCTTTCCATAGTGAGAACATGGGATCTGATAGTTGACCTAATTATTCTTGAGCTTGCTGCACAATTACGAATTTTTTCAAGGAGAAGTTGACAATCATCTGAAAGTTGTTTCGACGGAATATTTGTAATGTTAGACAAGAAAAGAGTTATTGCATTACCATTTTTTGATTTCTTGTATTTTTCTTGGTCTAAGTAAATAATCTTTTCTTCAAATCTATATGCATATATAGCAGTAAGAAATCTATTTTATCAATGCCAAACAACAACTATTCTAAGATTTGATAGACTCACTCTTTAAAAACAACATCTTCTAGTTCTTTCAAATCGTCATCCACTTTATCGTTCCTTTGAGTACCTACTTCGGAGTCGGCCGCTGTTGAGTTATTTTCTACACCTGAAGCCGTTTGGGCGATCTGGATAATAATTTTTATTTGTTAGTCTTAAGTGATGTTTTCCGCTAAAACCTTTAGAAATTATAGCTTCAAAGTAAGAGCAGGCTGCTTCGTTGGTTGCTTCGGCTGCTATTCTTTGTCTCTTGGACATTCGTTCATCAGTATCTTTCTTATCACGCTCCAACCAGTAAGTCGCGTATTGTTGATCGAAAGCCGACGTTGGGTTACTTCGCGACTAAACAAAGCAAGAATGAAAGCTATTAACGTATTTTAATAGATTGCGGAATAGACTTTGTTACGTTGAACGTGTTGATGACGTCTGCAATCTTCGTTTTTTCTTCTCCTTCGGCATCATGTAATGCTTTTCTCATTATATTGCTGTAGCTACGGTTGGTATTTTCTTTGGTGCTAGAAAGCGAATTTGCAAAGTCAACATAATCGTAAGCTGGTGATAAGTGCTTAGCAGTTAAAAGCCAAGATGAGTATGACAACCCTTTTGGGAATCCGTTGAACATGTTCAGGAGAAAAAGATTATTATTATTTGCATGAAATATTTCACGCCGCTCTTTTTTTGCTTCATTTTGCCCTTTTTTGGAGTGTTCTTAAAAACTTTGTAGATCCTCATCAAAGTAGTATAAACCAGAAAAAAAAAATACGAATTCTTGTTTATCTACTTTTTTAAGTAGATAACAAGTAATGACGTGATAGAAGGAAAGTTGTCAGAAAAATCACTTATGAAACCAGAAGACTAAACATAATTGATCCAACAATTTATCAGAAAGAGAATGACAGGTTTTCAAACGTTATAATATAACAAGAACATTATCTGACATGGGGATCGATGCTTTGGATAGTATATTTAGTAGTTAATAAAAGATTACAAAAAGCTTTGAGAGCAGACCATTGTTTAGTGGCATTTCAAACTGATAGAGTCAGGATAATTTTAAAGTTTTACACACTCAAAGAGGTTATTGACAAATCCACGAAGCTGTTAGCTAGAGTAACATATCTTGTTAGTCTGCTCATTACATGTCTTTTGTATGGGGCAGTGATTATACAAAAAGGCATAACAAATCTCCGAATGACAGTTTTTGAATACATAGTAGTGAAGTCAGAGCAAACATCTCGGTCCTGTTTAATGAAGGTTAGACTTCTCACTGCAACTGATCGTACTCGTAAACAAAATATTTGTCAAATTAGTATTTTCATTTTGCAAGAAAAGTAAATGCTTTATTCTCCCAATAAACAAAATATTGCAAAGCAGGTAAACAGAACAACAAAATGAAAGGAAATTTTATTTAACCAATAAGTCAGTTAACAAAAAGAAGAAAAAGCAAAAGCAAAAAATGATAAAGAAGAAAGATTACACATTTGAGCCAGGTCTTCGAGGACATATACCGTCTTGAACTTGCGTACTGTATGCGCAAATTGTAATTATTTGCTAGTCCCTTGAGTATCTCATCAAAACTGTATGATTCACATTGACATTTATGCGGTATGCCTTGTGGGCTATTGTGGCTATTATAAGACAACTAGTAAATAAGGCTTGGGAAAATTGCATTATTTAAAGCAAACGCAGTTTGAGAAGACTCTCTGCAGTGTTGAAGACAAGATTGAACTTTCTACAAGCACCATAAATCAAAGTGTCTAAAGTCCAAAGCCATAAAAGCTTGTGAAGTGCCAGAGGAGCAAGACAGCTAGTTGCTGTGGTCATTAGCAGAACACGCACTCTTACGGATGTCAGTAGAGCAAATCGGAGATTAGCAGAGTTGTAATTTTCATATAGTCTGTGATAAACAAAGAGGGTTACGTAGCTAAAAAATAAACGTGAAAGTCGAAGAATGTAATTAACCAATAATAAAATAGCACTGGGATAATCAAAAATTTACGAAAGCTCTAAAATCCTTGACTATAATATACGATTCTACTGTTTCGCACGGGGATAGTTAAGAATTGGGGATAAAGGAACGCGCATTTTATTATTTGTAATGTCAGTATTTTTATACATATTTTCTCAAATTTCGAAGTAATACAACAGTTCTAAATAGGTTCATGTTTTACGCTCAATTGTCATGGTCGGCCCTACAACGCATGAACGCTCTTTCAAGAATAATAGGGAAACAAGGCTTTTCCCATTCGTAACACTTGTTGCTTAATTGTATACTTTTAGAAACAGGTCTCTTGGGGGACACCACACTCCCGACTCATAAGAAAATTGCTTTCAACTATTTAAACTAAGCTTATACTATTTCTCAGTAATTATTACTCATGTTTATATATGTGCAAAAGTATTGATATTAAAGAGTATATTCAAATAATGGTTTCTATAAGAAATACTGTTACCAAAGATAGTAATTACCACTATTATTCAAATTTCGAAGAGTCGGGAGTGTGATGTCCCATAAGAAAACCGAGCTACCAATATTAGACACATTTATAGGTGATCGAACTTGTGTTTTATATTCCAAGAAATATCCCTTGAAAACCACAGATATTTCTTCTAATGACAATTTCTTTGTTCAAAAGAACAGGGTTTATTAAACGCAGTATAGTTTATTCCGAATCAAATCGCAAGTAGTTTGTATATAAAAAGAGAACGTAAAGTAAGTACAGTAGCAATTTCCTATAAACGTTTTTAAAAATATATATTCAAGAGTAAATATTCTTAAGATTGTTATATTCGCTTGATTCAAGGGAGTGCCATGACATGTATTTGTTAACAAAGACTTGACAATCTAACAAACTTCTTCATCGATATACACTTTCTGTACCATATCTTTTAATGACAGCTCATTGATCTATTTTGCTGCAATCATTCTCTTTCTTGCCTCTCTAGTCTCTGAGCTCATACGTCCGACGTTGACGGCCATTTTTGCAGCATTGTGCATAAAATCGGTATGGACATCATCAACTAAGATAAAGATTAAGCGATCCAGTCTTCTATTTCTCTTTCTTTGTGAATAATTTGTCTTCAATTGGTTATACCAACTTTCAATATAGTTGCTCGTTTCCATATTGTTAAAAATTTGTAGTTTGTAAGCGGCAGACTAGCGTATGAACTTATCATCAACAAGGTAATTTTGAGTAAAGTGAGCCATGATATCCGTATACACTGAAAACTCCTGTTGGAAATGTAGCAGCTTCTGGGTAAACATTTGCGCTGAACTTTCCCACATCAAACTCTTAAGAGCTGCTATCATGCTTTTATGGGCAGCATTGTTGGCAGAGACGCTTCCTAACTTGACTTTCTTGCGGATTTGATCCATCCAGGCTCTGCTGACATGGAAAAGACACCATTGGATTCTGACGGCAGAACCAAAGACTCCTGTAATGGCTGCATGTTCAGCGGCAAAAACGTCGATTGTAATTTTCTTTAAGCAAGGAAGTTGTTGATCAGGTCCAATGTCCTTGATAAATCTTAAAAAACGTGCGGCTGGAATCATTGAATGATCGTTACTAAAGAAAAAGGCGACTGGACAACTACTTCCTGTAATGGAATGTCTAATGACAGTGCTATATAATATAACATTGGCTATGTTAGACACTCAATGTGTAGCATTCAGGCAAAATGATTCAGCTCGAACTAGCTGTTGTCTTTGCCATGGAGAAACAAAGCCGAATGTATAACCCTGTTCGAAACCTTGAGCAATATAAGTAAAATAACCTCGTTGTTACTGAAGATCTTTCAGCCAAAGCTTGATCGATACTTTCCGTTTCAGGAAAAAGATCTCTTATCCTCTCACTAAAATGATGTTGAATTGCAGCTCTTATGTCTCTTCTACCATAGCCTTCACGTAACTTTTGCAATATAGCTTCCTTCGTATTATCCGATAAAGGTAAAAAGAGATATCATCAAGGCTTCCAATAAAATGATTATGCTCATTATGAAGCTTAATAATAACCTGATTAGGTGTTACGAAATAGCAGGTAATAGAAACATAGCATCTGCAATCGATCTTCTTGCTTGGTTTTTGAATTGGCCAGCTTTTAGATAATTCATCTTCTGTCTGTACACCAGCACGATTCTTATAGGTCCTAGATCTATGACATATGTACTCAATTTTCCAAATGATGCTTCTTCTTGTTACGCGCTTTGGCATAGGTTGGCCTTCTTCGTTTAAAGTAGACATATCACCAATCGTCTTGTTTTTATAAATTCAACATACTGCATGATGGGCAGGTGAATTTTCAATGATATTTTTCCCAGAGTCAGTATCTACAGTAATTTCTCTAGGAAAGGATGTGTATTGTTCTAAAATTAAGCTTTCAGACATGATTACTATTCTTTAATAAAAGGGGAATAAGTGAAAGAAAAAGCTAAAGACGAATTAAAAATTAAAATAGAATTAATGAGCACAGCATCAAAGAATAAATAGTCACTTCAAGAATTTAAAATTTAGAAAGGAAGGTAAAATAAGGCATGCCTTTTACGGCTTTCACGTCACTTGAAATTAAGAACTCAGCCATCTAGGGCCTGTTTGAGTGGTGAGGGAGGGGTTGTATTATTTTTTGGTCAGTGACTAGTAAACTCTCTTCTTTTTTTTACTCTAAATAATAAACAACGATGGCTTCATCCGTTCGTGCCGCTGCTATTAACTGGTCCAAGTTGAACGTCACTCTTCCTCAAGAGACCGTTGCTTCTCTTCAAGCTTTCCGTAAGCGTAATGACGAAGTCAAGCGTGTCCTTGCCGAATTGAAAGAACAAACCACCACTGTTGACTTTGCTCACTACCGCAAGGTCCTCAAGAACCAAAACATTATCGACCAAGCTGAAAAGGCTGTCACCAACTTCAAGCCCGTTTCTTATAATTTGGATGCTCAATTGAATGTCATCAATCAATTTGAATCCAAGGCTGTATGTAGACATTAAAATTTTTATAGCGATTCCAGAGGGTGTTTAACAGCTTGTACGATAGGTTGCCAAGGCTGAAAAGACTGTCAAGCAAATTGAGCAAGAACTTAAGGAACTTCAAGCTACTCTTAGCAACATTCAAGAATCTCGTCCTATTGAACAGCTCAAGGTAATAATAATAGTAAAATATGAAGTAGAGTATCAAAGATTAATTATGGGTATTAGGTTGATGATGTTATTGCTGCCAACCCCAAGATCATCAAAGAAGTTGAAGAAAGCATCAAGAAGGGTGATTGGAGCGTTCCCGGTTACAAAGAGAAGTTTGGAGATATCTCTTACTTCTAAGCAATTTTTATCTGTCTTTTACTACTGTTACATATACATAAAAAGGTTTTTATCGACATTAAAACTCTATTGTTTGTTCAAAATATGTGTGAAATGGACAAAAGAGATAGACCCTTTCGTGATGAAGGCGTTCATAAAGGAATTTAGTCGAAAAACAATGGAAATGATTGATGTTTGTATTTAGCATTATTAAAAAAGAGGGCGTCTCTGAGTAACTCTTACAGAGTGTGTGAACAATGAACTGCTTTTGAGCTTCTTGTATTAAGCATTTGTATAAGGAACAATAGGGGAGAAAATGGAGAAACGTAGATTTTTTATATGGTTTAGTACACACTTTTAATTGTTACTCCAGATACTTCTTACTTTGGGACGTCTTGGCCTGAAATCAACCGAAAGGTTAACACAGGCTAAATCGTCATCATCTGCAGTGAACGCAAGAGCAGCAACTACGAATTTCGCCTAAAATTCAAAGTTAAAAAGAGTTCATACAAAAAGAAAACGGCTATTTACCGCTGGTATTTCTCTTGGTAAGCTAGCTGTTGCTTTAATCTAAGAACAAAGATAAGTGTCAGTATCGTAAAAGAGCTTCCCACGCAGTTTCTTGTAGACTTACCTCGATTGGACCCTTTTCGATAGGACATTGAATGTTGACGTTATCTCTGTTTTTTTTTAATTCTTCACAAATATCAAATGTTTTACGTAAAAGCTTAACCAGTCCCACTTTGACTGTGATCTCAGCATAAGCACCATCTTCAATCTTTTCTGTAACTGTTCCCTTTACAATAACGGTGACGTTCTCTCCAGGCTTGACATATTCTGGTAAAGGTTCGATTGATTCAAGTTGAAATGGTTCATTGCCGACACCTTCAAAATGTTTTTAGTATAAAGCACTGATTCATTTTAGTGTCAACATACTGCAGTCGATGTATTCTACGTTTGATTCGCCGAGAGCATTAAAGTATCGGCTTGACCAAAAGGTCATACGACCTTCTACACCGAGTAGAAAGGCTACAAAACAGAAAGTGGATACAAGTAAAGATTTAAGCTGCATTAAATTTACTCAAGAAATAAGAGAAAGAAAAGGAAGAAATGGTTTTATTTATATAAATTGATGATCTCTTACGTCAACCACAAAAAGACCCCAAATATTATAACTGTGTTTCATCTTTTTGTCCCGTGTTACTCACATGAATTCAAGTTCCTATAGAAGGCAAAACTTATTAAAGTCTTGCTCACATACTAGTTAACAGAGGTTATTCTCGTGGCTTATTTCATTTTGTGTAGGGAAAATAAAAAAGAAAGGATCTAGTATTGAATGTGTATATTGTATTTTGTTCTTGTTAAACCCATGGACCGTGTTCTTTAGTCTAATGACCAGGTATTACGTTATTTCCCACTTGGATGCGCCATCATTTACCTCTAACTAGCATTCTACTTTTTCATAATAAAACTTACAAAAACAATCTTTTTATGTTATTTTGGATAAATTCTCTGGAAGTACAATAATAAAAGAACTATGACAACACAATTCCGTTGCCGTATCAGTTGGTTAATGCACGTAACACACTATTTCCAGAAAGAGATATCGCGCTGGCTTGTCGCTTTTTCATATAATTGTATTATAAAATTGCAAAAATGCGGCTTTACTTTCTGAAAAGGCTGTACATTCTGATACTTTTAGTCATCTATACACATCGTCTTTAACTTCCTAGCTCAGTCTGTAACTTGCTTTAATCAAGCTCATTTCTGCATATGACCAATCATGTGTGTGCTTATTGATGTTGCAGTCTTTCGGCATTTTGCCTGCGCAAGATAACATATTTCCTTATGTTACTCATAGCCGAACTAAATATCTTTTTTCTATTGCTATCAAAAAAGACAGATAAAGATGCTTCGATGACGAATTTCAATATTCTTTGTAAGAGAAAATGATCTGAATCGGAGGGTTTTCATATAGAATAATCAAAGCAAGGCACCAAGCTTATTGTATAAATGGATAAGCTGATGATTATCTGATCAAACATGCTTTAGGAACACTCTTTTTAAAGCGGGAAAAGAAACTATTGACAAGGTACAACCAATGATGATGACTTCTCGTGACTATGCATCAAAAAATTTTTTTTCTTTAAAAATTTCCATGTACTTTTGTATTCTCTCTTTTTTAAATTAATTGCAATGATGATAGCTTTGGTAAACGCTTGAATTCTATCCTTAACCCTTTAGAAGAGTCCCTTATTAAATGGACTCTTCACCTATATTCAAAGGTGTTGAGGGATGACGAGAATTAGGCGAATGTCTGAGCAAAACTTGCTACTGTTTAATGAAAAAGGTATATTTATAAATTTTAAAAAGTTGAATTGATGATATCGCGTGAATGATCAACATACTGTGTTGGTGATTAATTAAACAAGTCTCTCTAAGAACAACTGATCAACTTTTATTATCTTGCTTTACTTTTAACAGTAACTAATTTGTTATCTTTTTGTAGGTAAGCTTTTAACCGAACTCATTATAAATTAAATAAATAAAATATAAACCGTTTTTTAAACCATAAAAATGTCTTTGTATATAATGCTCTATATTCTAAAGCCCCTTGATGTCTGTATCATTTCATTTCTCGGATGTTTAGCTGACATGAGACATGCATGCACGTCTAAATAACCAGTGCTTCATAAAACTCGAGTATGAAAACGTAAATGAGACAATGCTCTACACTCAACTGTCTTTGTAAAGAGACAGAGATCTATGAGGTTTCATCTAAAAAATGCGGCTTTGATCTGAGTAATAATAACCAAGTATTAACAGTCATCGAATTCAAAAGTATAAAAAGGTAAAAAACTTTGGGAACTCATGATTTTCTTATTCTCACGCAATTTAAAAGAAGCTGTTCTGCTAATATAAGGGTGTTGTTCTCTACAACATTCTATAAAGGAATGCTTCGAGAGGGAAAGCAGACGGTAGTAAAACCTTTGTTATGAGCTTATTGCTCTGAGTAACATTGACCAAAGCCGTTCAACATCAATTACAATTTAAAGGAAACTAAATGAAAAAAAAAAAAACTTGGCAAAAATTGATGAATCTCAAAGGCATCAATGACTTGTAGTCAGATAAGTGCGTTATGAATATACTCAACCATTTTGAACAAGAAATCGTATGATTGTATATTTAACCTTTTCCACTCGAGAAATACAGTCTTCAGAAAGTAAAGTCGCATTTTTGCAGTTTTTATAATACAATTTATACGAAAATGCGGCAAGTCAGCGCGACATCTCTTTCTGGAAATGGTGTATAACGAGTATCATATGGAAGTCTTTGTCAACTCTATGCTTTGTTTTTCATGTGGCTTTTTCTTAATAAATTATGTCTCCACAAGAACAAAGAAAAAGTACGATCAACTAGTTGCTCTCGTATATATCGTTGGACAACTAAGCCAATGGCACATCAATCGTTTTCTTTCTTGTGATAAAAAACATTGACAATGACAGCTCAATCATGTATAATTTTCATTTCATCTGGACTTACACAAAGTTGGAATACAATCCTGCCACTTGATACAAGGCGAAATGGCATGAATAACTTCAAAGTGATCTGATTTGCTCCTGTTCAGAAAGTATATCAAAGAGTCATATGTCTTCCTTTGTTTACCCTAGTTAAACAATTCAAAGTCTGTTTATAAAAGATGAATAGCAGGAATTAGAAATGTCCTAAGGATATTCTGAGGGCACATTAATATTTAAGAAATGATTCTCGTTGTGCTATGAATGCGCGTTCACAGTCGTTAATTAAGGTGACGTACGGTCCGCACTAAAATTTTGGCCAATCATAAATTGACAGGCAGAAAGCCTTCACTGCTTTTATATATCTACGCTCTCTTGTAACCCCTTTTCTTTTCTATCTGTTCTCACATCCTCTCTCCATCATGGCTCAGTACGCGTATGACGAAGAGGGTTTTAACTTTTACTACTTTCTCATAGCAGTGTTGTCACTCTGCCTTGTACCTACTACGATACAATCGTTACATGCTTTATATAAATCAGCATGTAAGACTCTCTTTTATCACTTTAGCTATTGATACTCATCTTATCCTTTTAGCTACCAAACATAAAGATGTTTGTCACTGTCAAATATGTGAAAAAGGAAGAAAGAGGGCAAAAAATGTCAAGTCTAGTTCAATCAAAAAACTATTGATGAGTCCCAAGTATGTTGATTCGTATTGATGATGTCACTTGGCTCACTTTTTACATTATATAGATTTCTTTTCTTAGTCATTGGTTGGGTTGGAGTCGTACTTTTGGCCATGCAAGTTGCTAATGCTGAAGTAAAATCAGTTACTTGGGATCCTTATGAAGTTATGGGTCTTAAAGAGGTAAATGATACAAGAGAAAAGAGAAAAGAGTGAAACTCATCTCCATATGTATAGAGTGCTACTGAAGCTGAAATTAAAAAGGCTTACAAAAAGCTATCACTTGTATATCATCCTGATAAAGCCAAGCCAGGCAAAGAAAAAGAGAATGAGGAACGATTCATTGATATTACCAAGGCTTACAAAGTGTAAAAGTTTTATCTTTATTTCATGAATGAGTTATCTAATTGCTATGCCTAGATTGACAAATGAAGAGGCTCGTAGAAACTATGCTGAGTTTGGTCACCCGGATGGTAAACAATCATTCACTATGGGTGTCGCTTTACCCAAAAAATTGGTGGAGGGCAATGGAATGTACGTCTTGGGCTTTTATGCACTCGCATTTGGCCTTGGTTTGCCTTATTTCATTGTAAGTATTTTATAGATCTGATAGAGGAAAGGTAGAACTAAATGATACCGTAGGCTCGCTGGTGGTATAAATCACGTCGTCTTACAAAGGATAAAATCTTGAACAAGACAATGGGAGTCTTTGTCAAGGGCTTAAAGGAAGAAGACGGTTTTAAAGAAATCATTTACACTCTATCTGGTGCCATTGAATATAAGGAAGCTGTTGATGTTCGTCCTAATGAAGACAGAATGCTCAACATTATCAACGGTGCTATAGCAGATGAAATGGAAAAGAAGTTGGGTGAAAAGTTTGATCGCCTTAATGATTCAGTACCTGCCTATCGTCGCAAGACTCGTGCACTCATCTACGCTTACTTGCTTCGTGTTGATCTTGAAAAGAAAGGAGTGAACAATCAGTTGATTAAGGATCAAAGCTTTGTTGTGGACAAGGCTATCCATTTAATTCAAGGCCTTATGCAAATCGCTACTGTCAAACAATGGCTCAATGTTACATGTCATTTGATGGAATTACAACAGCATTTAATGCAAGCTACTTTCCCAGGAGAACCCAGCATCAAACAACTTCCTCACGTCACTACGACTCTCGTACGTCGTTATAATCGTGGTAGAAAGACAAAGATCCAAACAGTTCAGCAATTTTGTGACATGCCTAACGATGAACGTAAAAACATGCTAAAGACATTATCTGATTCTGAATATTTGGATGCTGTTGAAGTCGCTCAACGTATTCCTAAATTAAACGTTGAAAAGGCTGTGTTTAGAGTGATTGGAGATAGAATTGTTACAACAGGCGCAATTATTACGTTTGTTTTGAAGTTAAGAAATGGCCAAGTCGTTGATGTTGATACCGAAACAAAAGAAAAGCAAGAACACGATGATGAGGACGAAGAAGAAGAGTTGTTGGATAATAAAAAGAAGAACAAAAAAACTTTACCCTCTGCACATACTCCTTACTACGCTGGTGAAAAGAAGCCATGCTGGTGGATTTTCTTGGGTGATCCTAAAGTGAATCGTATCCTTGTACCTCACAAGAAGGTGACAGATATTGTTGATGAAGAAACAATCAAGGTTCCATTCCCTGGTCCACCTAAGCCTGGTGTGTACACATTCTCGTTCTTTATAAAATCGGATACCTACGTTGGCACAGATATTGTACGAGACATTACACTGAAAGTCCATGATCCATCTGATCTTCCTCCAGAAGAAGAAGTAGATGACAGTATCTCTGAGCCTGAAGAAGATTCTATTGCTGGACAAATGAAGCTGATGAGAGAACAAGGATTTGCTTCTGCTCTAGCTGGTGGATCCACCAAGAAGCCCCAGAATGATGATTCTGACTCTGATTCTTCTTCCGAAGAAGATGATAATAATTATGTTACTGAATCTGATGAAGACGATTAAATTTAATATTGCTGTTTCAATAAAATATATACGTTTCCTTTCACTTGTATACACCATAAAAATATTTATGTTAAAAATGGGACTTTATTTTTATGTACATTCATGAATAATTCATATACAAATGATGGTTTATTTCTTGACATTTTTTGCTAAAGGAGTAGCGCCTGCACGGAACAAAGGTACCGGAGTCGGTGTTTCTCCTGGTCGTCTAACAGTTGAGCCTGTACGTAGAGGACTTGATCCATAGGCGCTCCTAAGAGCATCTCCAAAAGCAGTTCGTTGTAAATGGGGTGAGTTTTGACTTTTACGAAGTAAATGTTGTGCTGCAGGAGACATCAATCCAGCCCTAAATAAAATTAGAATCAACAAAGCGAGTCAGCAATAAGCTTACCCTGATCTCGGTGTTCCTTTGGACACCCTTTCGCTTGTCTTTTTACGATAGGCTCTAGATGCCTTCTCAGATAGTTTCATGCCTAATTGCTCTCTCCTTGAGATCTCTGGTAAGGAGAACTTGGGTCCTGGAGTAGTTGATCCGTCTACAGGCATGGGCGTGCCTTCGATTGAACCCCAGGTCATTTGAGGAGTACCCATGCGAGAAGGGCTAAGGGCTGGTGTAGATGCGACGAGTTGGTAGCCTCGTAAGACAGGTGAAGCATCGCTTGTTGCGTGCTGATCAACTTGATTAAGCTGTGTCCAAGGCGTCATCTTGCCTTGTTGAATAGCGATATCAGACAACGGTTTATCCTTTAAACAAAACAAGTTAACCAGAGTCAAATAGCATTATTCTTATAATTACTTCTTGTATGGTGAGTGGTATAGTGATGTCTGTATTCTTGTACTCAATCGCCTTGGGCTGTCCTCGTGCATCGTCCTCCTTGATCCATGACTCGCTCTTGCCCTCGGGGTAATACATTAATGTATTTCTAGCTTTATATTTCCATCCAGTAGGTCCTTCGATGAGCTGAACTGATTGTGTGCCGTTGGTGATTCTTAGTTGATTTGATTCTTTATCAAAGAACCATTTGTTCTTTTCTTTTGCCTTTTGATTGGCCTTTTCGAGTATTTCGGCAAAGGAAGCATTATCTTCACTGTCATCACAATTAGATTAGCTTCAACGAGATCATGTATTATAAGGACCAACCTTGTATATAGAGTTTGAAATTGATCAAGTGACAGATCCAAGTTGACTCTTTTCTCTAATTCAGATTCTTGTTCAAAGTAGTAGTTTATTGACTGATTCTTTTTCTCGACTATAGACAAGGGGTAATTAGATTAGGATATATTTGTTATTGTATCCTTGTACCTTTCTTGGGTTGCTGGACATCTCTTAGCGCTTTACTTGCTTTTTGAAGATCAAATAAAGTTCCTGATTGTTGAGCTTGGAAATAGTTTTGCTGAGCCTTCATTTTAACCAAGTTTGGAAAGAAGTCTCTTTCGATAATGAAGCTGATAGCTTCAGTATAAGTATCTTCATCTAAAACAACAGGTGTACTGGTATTCATCAGTGCGATGCATAAACAAGAAAGAAAAAAATAATAATAATAATGGTGACGTCCAGAAAAATTGAGTGACCTTTTTATTATTTATTGTGCTCAATCATTTTCCAAGTAAATAATATCCGTATTTAAACGAAATAGAGCTTTCTTAATTGCGAACAGAACTCAACAGCGTCATAGTCATTATGTAGGCGAAGGATAACGATATGACAATCAAAAGTAATATATATTGAGCCAATAATCCTGGGAGTGAAGAGAGACATCTAGGATCGAGAGTGAAAAAAATGGGGGCAGTAAATCAAAAAGCTAAAGAGACAAAGGGCTATCTAGAGTTATACAACCGCTGTAGGAGAAGCTTGTCTAGGAGGGCGGCTTCTTGAGGTTTGATCCCAAGAGGATGGGACAAATGACTGGCCAGAGCTGTCAAGAATCAGCATGTCTTGTGGGAACTCCGAATTGGTATGGTGCCAAAGAGAAGCTGAACCTGTAGAGTGTGTACTCTTTCTGTCATAATAGAAAAATTCGTCATATAAAGCATCATCCTAATGCATTCATTCTGGGTATTCTTAGGGTGCTTTAGCCGAGAATGAGAAAGCAAATTGATGGAGAGTCTATGTTCCACTTGTAATTGAATAGGCTGGGCACAGACCTGGGTGATAATGGCTTATACGGTTAAACAATTTTATTTATTAATTTATACAATATAAAGGCCATAAGGGGCACGTGATATTTTTATTATTTCGTTTTTGCCCTGGCCAATTCAAGTTGTGAGGCAGTATCTAAAAATCTCTCTGGGCTCGGGGGCAAAAATGCTTTGGCTGACAGATTCATGGAACAGGTGTTAAAAACATTGCTATGGAGAATTAAATAACCAGTTAATCAGTTTCTGCCCTGGGTCAGATGGTGATGGTGACTCTTTTTCATGGTATAGGTAATCAAGCTCATGTAAGATAGCGCAGATTACGGGCCATCTGATAGTCCAAAACGATCTTGTTTGAAAAGAGCGTGGTTTTCGAGTGGTAAGCTTATTTAAAAGGAGAGACAGAGGATCAATTATAGACTTCGGTATTTGTAGACGGTGATGCATGTCGAGGCAATAGATGGCATGTTGCTTTGTAAGGAGCTGTGAGATGTGTCGAAGGCAGCGAGTAGTGTTATAACTGGGTATCCAACCAAGACGCCACCGTATGCACCGGATTCTTTCTAGCCTTGTCATAGGTAACCAAAGGATTGGATCCAAAGAGACTGTTGGGCAACACAGTGAGAGCAGATTTGAGCTGCGTGCAGTACGCCGCTGTTCTAAGTTGTCTTGCAGATATTGCAGACGTATCTTCTTTAATAATCGTTTGTCTAGTACATCAGTATATTGCGCACAACGTTTCCACAGTGACGTTTTTGATATAGTATGCCACTGCGAATGACTTGTAGAGAGGCGTATATGTGGAAGTAAGTAAGTCAGAAGCGCATCATCTGGCAATGACAGAGATTGTAAGAGGAATTGTGCTTGTAGTAAATGGGCACGCTCTGTCATAGTCGACAACTTCGTCAGTTGTAGCATTACTTTTATAGAGGATCTGCAAGAACCACCAAGTATTCTGCGTAGGTACGTATTTTGGGCGTCTTCCAGTTTGTCGAGCAAAAGAGAGCTAATCTTGCTAATAGCAAGACCATATTCTAATTGAGATCGGACTATTTGTTTGTAAAAACGAGTAGCAAGCAGCCGGCTGAGACCATTGGGGTTAAGTCCAATCATAGCTAATTGATTCATGGTCGCTAGTAATTTGTTTATATTGTTAGTAAGAAGCTCGAATGTATTTAGGTAACCTCCAGGACGAAAAGGGGTCCCAAGGTAAGAAAAAGAGGCTCTATTCGAAAGCAGGTCACCATAAAGGTAGTAATTAAGCGATTGATCTGTAGGGTTTAAAACTACACATTTGCTAGGGTTCCACCTATAGCCAAGGTTGTAACTATGACTTCACATATTCTCAACAGATCTTTCATGTGTTCTTTGTCAGCGATGAGCACTACGTCGTCCGCATATAAAAGGCAGTTGATCAATGGGGCTAGCTGGAGTGCCGAAATGTCTTGTGGTATAGGCCGTTGACGAAGCAGCTTAGGGCGTTCATTAATGTAAATGGAGTATAAGAAAGGCGAGAGAATAGAACCTTGAAGGATACCGGTCATAGGTTAATAGCTTATACGATTAAACAGTCTTTATTTACAATTAAAGCCTCAAGTGGGCGCACGATAATAATATACCTTCCTCGACCGAGGCAGATTAAAAAAGAATGAAGAATTGGTATCTAAAAAACCCTTATGAGATCAAGGGTAAAAAAGTTATTGAAGAAATGATGTTGGGGCAAGTGTAAGATACACTAATGAGGACAATGAGGGAGCCAATTGAGGAGCTTTTGCCCAAGGTGTGGGGGCGGAGAAGGTGGACACTTCTGATGATGGAGGTAGTCAAGTGCATGAAGAGCGCATATAGCTGGCCAACGAATGGTCCATGGGAGAGCGGTTTGAAAGGAGCGTGGTTTCTTTGAAGGTGGCATATTCAAAAGGAAGGATAATGGACCTGAAATTGTTCCGGGCATCATAAGTCGGCGGTGCATCTGGAGGCAGTAAATGGCGTGGGCTTTGGTGAAGGATTGGTTGGGATGCCGAGGACAAGTTTTGTCGTGGCCGCTGGGAAGCCAACCAAGACGCCAACGTATGCATCGACTTCTCTCAGACCTGTTCATAGGTAGCCAAAGGATAGGGTCTAGGGAGATAGTCGGGCGACAGTGCGTAAGAAGAACAGAGGCGTGCGTTGCGCGCTTGTGATTGAGGTTATCTTGGCGGAACTTCCTTTGCATCAAACGTAAAGAGTGGCGATCAAGAGATTCTGGGTTTGGTGCGCATAGTTTCCAAATGGGAGACCTAGAGAGTTTATACCATTGGGAGTGACTTCTAGATTGGCGGATCAATGGGGGGTAGGTGGGAAAGTAGTGCATCATCTCGAAGGGTATAGGTGCGTAGAAGGAATTGGGACTGAAGGGAGTAGGCGCGTTCCTGCATGGTTGGTAGGTTTGCCAGATGTAGCATCACTGTTGTGGAGGAATTGCGCAAACCACCGAAGATTCGACGTATGCAAGCGTTCTGAGCGTCGTCCAATTGCTTGCTAAGGAAGGAAGTAACCTTGGTAATGGCTAGCCCGTATTCTAATTGGGCACGAGCGATTTGGGAATAGAAACGAGTGGCTAAGAGAGGGGTAAAACCTTTGGGATGGATGCCAATAGCTGAGAGTTGGTTCATAGTTGTACGGGCTTTAGTCTTGTTGTTAGCAATCAGTTCAATGGCGTCGAGATGGCCACCCGAACGAAAAGGGATTCCGAGATAGGGAAAGGATGATTGTTTTGGGATTGGTTCTCCATAGAGGGTATAACTTGAAGACGGTTGTGTTGGATCTAATATAACACATTTACTTGGGTTCCATCGGTATCCAAGTTGGCAACTGTGGTCTTCGCAAGACTTGAGGAGAGTGGGCATATTAGCCTTAGCAGCTATGAGGACAACATCATCAGCATAGAGGAGACAGTTTATGCGAAGGGCGAGTTCGGTAGGGGAAGTATCTGTGGTTAGTGGTCGTGGGCGCAGAAGGCGAGGTAATTCGTTAATGTATATAGAATACAAAAACGGAGAAAGAATTGATCCCTGGAGGACACCAGTGGCCGGCGAGAAACGAGTAGACGTTGCATTATTGAGTAGGACTTCTATCTGGACCTCATCAAATAGATTCTGAAGCAAGCTAATCAATGCAACAGGTGCTGTTTGCTCTAGATTTTTCCAGATACAACGACGATCTACAGTATCATATGCCGATTTTATGTCTAAAAAGGCCAGTAACTATCGGCCAATTAGTCTAACATCTGTCTTCAGAAAAATATTAGAGCGCTGTATCTACAGCTTTCTGGTAGCTAATAGCCCTCCCCTGGGCATAGCTCAAGGCGGCTTCCGTGAGTCCAGAGGATCCTTAGACCAAGCTCTCTGTCTAGCCGAAATATGCAACATCCTACGCCGCTTTCATCATATAACCCCAGTACCTGGCTCCGCTGGGTCGCCTTTTTTATAAATCGGTACAACTTGCGCTATTCGCCAGTCTGCAGGTGTATAGGACCAGGTCCAGCGTAATTGGAACAAAAATAGCAAGATATCTGCAAGATTGGCCTGTAAAGGAGCGAGCATTTCTTGACGTAAATGATCAGGACCTGGAGCCTTGTTAGACGGTAATTGCCTAGGTGCTGCTTGTACATCATCCAACGTAATAGGGCAAGTTTCTCTCGCAAATGGAGTGGAGTAGGATAGGGAGGAGTGGGCCTGCTCTACGCCTTGGAGTAATCGGCCAGAGTAGATCGCCTGTAGGTGGGAGGCCATCACGTTAGCTGCATGTCACGGGCCTTCTATAGTAGAAAAAGAAGGCTTTAGGTTTCTATTTTTACGAATTTTATATAATTTTGCGATGGCTTTGGTATACTCCCCTTGTTCCATTTTATCACAGAACTCTTTCCATGTATCTCTTCTTCGTTTTAAAATCATCCGACGTAGTTTCGTCTTAGCTTCTTGATAAAGAAGCCAGTATTTGAGACAATTTACCCCTTGTGATTTACGCCATTTTCTATAGTAGTGTTACTTAAGTTCGAAGACCTCTTGCAAATCAGCTGTCCAGAATTGTTGCAGGGTGTTGCACCATTGTTGCGTATTACGGCCACATACCTCATCCAGAGATTGGTAGATCGCTTGACATAGGTTGTAATTGAGTTTTTCAATATATGCCGATGCAGAGGCTCTGTTGTTAAAGGAGAGAGCAGTAGTAGGTATAAGATCCTTGGTAAGATGGGAAAAGTGATTATTGTATTGAGCTCTTAACTTTTCATCTTTTAACTTGCCCAAGTGCCACAAGATCCTTTTAGGTGGGAGGGGCCTCTGAGGTGGAGCTGATGCTTGAAAAGATAGGATCATAAACTTATGATAGGAGTCAAGCGATAGTTAATAGCTTATACAGTATTTCCAAAAATTATTGACACTGATGCCAGGGGTAAAATTCGCGTTCGTTAAATTCTATTGTCACGTAAACCATTGGCTGATTTCGCTTGCTGACAAATTGAATGTCGTATATGAAGTGGGTGTGGGGTAAGGAGAGACACCCACAGTTGGATGGCCGATGACCCAGATGTTTGTATGAAGGAGGCGTTGAGTAAACGAGCGTACACACTCTATACGGATCAAGACAAAGTTAGATTCTTTAAACTGATGTTTGAGAAAGTTATGAGTGCTTCAGCTGCTGCAAAACAATTAGATATTCATGTTCACACAGCTCAAAGATGGGCTCAAATGTACAAAACGGATCCTGATAGTGTTTTTATAAAGCATAAGAAGCCGGCCGCTCGCGTATACTTCAAGAAGGACACAAGCAAGTGATCTTGGAGTATGTAGATGAGAATCCTTCAGCCGTCTTGGAGCAAGTGATGGAGCGACTACTTCAAAATTTTCAGGATCTCAAGGTCTCTAAAAGCACTGTCTACAATTTTGTAAGAACTGAATATAATTTGTCACTCAAAAAAGCCCAATTCCAGCCTGTAGATAGGAACAGTGAAGAAAAAATTCAGGAGTGTTTTGACTGGGTTCGTAAGTGGGGGCGTACGGACATGGACTTTAGAACTAATTGCGTCTTTCTCGATGAGTCTGCGTTTCACATTAATTTAAAACGTAGTATGGCCTGGTAAAAAAAAGAATGGCCTGCTGTGGTCACAGTGCCTAAAACCCGAGCACAAACAACAACGATTTTAGGTGCGATCTCTGCTTTAGGATTAATAAAGTGTAGCCTGAGATTACCGCAGCCGCCAGCCAAGAGAAGAAAGAGAGAAGGCTATATTGAGCTAACGAGCATAGAGACAATAACTAGTGATTATTTTAGCTTTCTGAAGGCCATGATGGATGAAATGGATCAGTGCCCACATATGAAAGGGTATTATCTAGCTATGGATAGCACTGTAAGACCTCAAAGCCTAGAATCCTGATGTCGTTCAAGCTGAGCAAGCCCTTTCTCAACAGCCAAGCAGCAGCGTATCCGTAGAAGGTTTTGGCCGCTTCCTTCAAGCCAGATCTTAATAGTCTGCCGTTCTCAGTCGATTCTATGGATATACCACCACAAACCATGATAATGGATACCCCCTCTTTCGCAAGCTCCCTCTTTCAGCGTACTTCAACGAACAACGTGCCGATCAAAAGCTTATTCAAGACTTACACACCAAATTTGGAGAAGACGCTGTGTTTGTGATAGGAAGCTGGTCCGTTCCTCATGCTAGGTATCATGAGCCCATCCGTGGCCTTGGTTTCCGAAGACTCCTCAAGAAGCATAGGTTCCAAGTCTATCTTATAGACAAGTACAAGGCCAGTAGGTGCTGTCCAACATGCCACAACGAAAGCCTCCACACGTTCCGTCGTGTTCCAAATCCACGACTGTATCAACGAGAGCGATATCCTACTGTTGTCTGCCATGGCCTTTTAAGGTAATAATACATGAACCACTTGGATGACTTTATACTGATTGAACATTGCTTGTAGGTGCACTAATCTATACTGTAGACCCGACATGGCAGCTCCAGATAGATATCGCTTATGGAACAAGGATGTCACTGCTTACCTCAACTACGTGCACATCCTTCGTGGGCTCCGACGTAATGGCATGGTTCCCCATAGGTTTCGCCGGGTTGCTGTTGCTCCTACAAGATGTCGAAGAAGAGTGGACGATCAGGAGCAACCAAGAACTAGAATACGCTTAGACGATGATTCTCCGTCCTAGTTATCGCTAGGACACATCTAGATGCCTCCGGGGTAAGTTGTATGTAATAATTTTCTTACATAACTAACTGTATAATTCTCTATACTCTCTCCCTGGTACTTATCACTCTCATTTGTATGTCGTTTCCTTTTGCACGCATTTTATTTTTTAACCTTTGCGTAAATACTTTCTTTAATATGCACCAATAATTTATTTTCATACACGTCATAATATTTTAATAAAATAGTAGTAGTCGCGAAGAGTGACGCCAATCGAGGTGAGAATTCAAACACAGGCTGAAAAAGGGTACCTAAGTAAGTGATGGGCAAAGTTTGTTGTCAATAGGCTAAGGGAGATTGTTCAGAAGCAGCACACTTCGTAAGATTTCATCCATAATAAGCTTGTAAGCCATGAGTTTCACATGTCTTGAGTAAGCAGGATCCATGATTGTATAACAGACGCCTCTTTGTTCTTTAACTCAGTTTTTCTGGCCCGCCCCAGAATTGAACGCGTCCTACTGAAACGAAAGTAGTCTGCACTAAAGAGAAGGAAAATAAAGTTGCTTCCGGTCAGAATCTACTAACTCAAAGACGATGGCATATTCTTTACTTGGATGTTCAATATAATGGGAGATGAAAAATGTTGTCGCATGGCACCATTTTCAACCATAGATCAATCCTGCTTAACAGGATTCCTACAGATATTCGATTTCTCACAAGATTCCTGGTATCTCTACTGAGCAATTGATCATTCCACTCTTTATGAGGCTAATATCCTTCAATACAGCTGCCTTCCCCAAGAAGTTACCTCACTGGACGAGTGTTCCCTTCGTTGACTTGAAAGATTTCAATAATTATCTGCGTCTTTAACTTTTAGTTTACTTTATCATGCTTTAACTTTAAGCTCAGAGGTTTTATTCTTTTGTATTAACAGGATGTCTTGTTCTATTTAATATATCCAGACACAAATATGATTAAATTCAATGCAAAAATTGACATATAACCAGAAAAGACAACTCTTTCTTTTTCTAGCAATCGCCAAATGCAAAAATACGCCCAGTAAGTAAACTAGGCAAGTTGCTTTAACCGCTCTTCAAACCATAAAAAGCATGAAAAAAAATCATGCGTAAACAATTTGTTAAAAAGCGCATTAACATCAATCTTGCCATAGAATTCATTCAGGGAAGTAACCGAGGAGTTTTCAATCATTTGACGCGACACTATGGATTTCGCACTGTTGATTTTGATAAAATGGCTTAATATACAGTAGTTAGAGTTCCAACAACAACAATAACAACAGCTAGAGATTATATGTAGTTTCCTCTTCCAGCTTATCCTCATCAGCTTTAGACCTTGCTAGATGAACGCCGAACCGCTGTTGCCTACAGAGGTGCCAATATCAGAGGAACATATAGAGGCAATACGCCTACTCTCGTAAAGGTAACGATTGTTTTTATATTGTACCATGATAGAAGAATACTTGTTTTTTCACTCTCATCGTAGGTAATACAACGAGCTATTGCAACTAAAGCTGTTGTGATTCCGGTGGATAAGTTCCGAACGTCTATTACTTGCTGCCACTGCTTTGAAAGACTGGAGGATGTAATAAGTAATTACATTTTACCAGATGATCAGATACTACAGTGCTGTCATAGACAATATACGAATTTAATCAAGAAATATTTCATGTAACTAAGACAGCTTTGTTCAATAGGAAAAAAAAAAAGGCACAGGTCGAATGGCCAACCCGGCTATCCATTAGAGCGGAGAGCAACAATGAAATGCATGGAGAGATTCTATTTAATTTGACTTATCACTAAAAGTGTGTGCACGTAATCTTATAATATATGAATTCACTCTATTCATACTGATTACAGTCATTTATCTCATTATCGGTCATAAGTAGACATTGTTCTACGGCAATCAAGAAGTCAGTAGAAAACGTTTCGTCAGTGTGATATATTCAGTCTTCTGGGCCATGAAAAGTGCTAATTGTTGTTCTTGTGATTGTATGCTAAAGAAGAGAAGTAAAAGTGTGCTTAACATTGGTCCAGTCATGGTATAGTTTCTGTAATAAAAGTATCAGAAAAATAATCTTGGTTGCAACAGTATTTGTAGTTTACATATCTCGAATAAAGATAAGGGAGAAGGACAGCCATAATTGATGTAACATGTGAAAGCAACAATTTAGATAGAACGTCATCAAAGACTAATAGAGAAGGAGGGGGGGGGGATGAGCTGCGTCTTTAAATTCGGATAGTAAGCCTATAGTTTCGGAAAACAGATTCACATTATTTTTTGGCAGTTCTCTTGTGAAACGTTCTACCAAACCAACGGAACAACAACAAAATAAGGGCTAAAATGATGACATTATATTCTTTTTCTTTCTTGCTTTTTATTTTTTCTTTCTTTCTATTATATTTTATAAAAGGGAGATGTCAATCATCAATACAAGCACAGAGTATTATAAAGTTCAACCACGCTCTTCTTCAGAAAGAGATAATAGCCATCTACTTCAATCAGCGTTAAAAGCAGCGTCAAATGATATGGCTCATAGATTATTAAACTATGCTTCATTGGATAAGATGGACTGTGAGGCTAGTTGTATTCTGATTGCATTAGCTAACCATCAAGAAAATCAAGCGACTGGATTGAAACAGGTTGGGGGGATCTTATTGATATATTGTCCAGCTAACATTATATTTTATAGGAAGAGCAAGACAGCCAGAGTACAATGAATAATGTATATAAAAAAGTATAATTATTAAAATAAGGGCTTGGTTTTAATGAAAAAAGGATATAAAATAAAATAGGAATGGAAAAGAAAGCTTGATGAAGACAAGACGATCGTGGTCTTACCACAAAAGAGACAAGCTGCAAAAGGTAACTATTGTCCATAATATAAATATGTATGTGTATTTAACAACATCTAATATAGCTACTGTAGTCGTACAACCAAATCATTCATTGAAAAATGACCCAATAATGCTTTTGATGGCTGCAGCAGAAGTAGTAGAAAGAAAGAAGAGAAAAGTATCAAAACATAAGCAACATGGCTTCTCAAGGCAATATCATTCAATGGTAAGAAGAATACGATAACAACCTTTTATTAAACTTAAATAGAAACAAAATCCAAAGATAAAGCAAAATGCTTTACATGCTTACATTACTTATATGATCTATAACGATTTAGCTCATAGATCTCCTTCAAAAGTAAAATGCGTATATATTTATTGCTATAGTTACTAATTCCTACTCGTTAGTACCCCAATAATAAAAAGATCCCTTGGTATTCCTCTCCTCCTGCCCCTGCCTCTCATCCTTCCTTGCAAGACAAAAAAACATCCCCCATCATTTCACGCCCATTGACAGCTTTCCTTTGGAATGACACAGCCATGATAGAGAAAAAAAATGTCATGATTTTACCTCCTATTGGCTCAAAAAATTCACAGTAATAAAACGATTATACGTTTAAAAATGATTTATTTCCCACTATACAACATTTTTGAATATATTTATTCTTCGTCGGATTCTTCAGCAAGAGTCATGGCGATACGATCCAAATCACGTTGACCATCTTGGGTAATTCTGCGACCACTGCTGAAGGAGTTAGTCTCTATTATTTAAATAATCCAGACACTTACCCCTTCTTATCCTTTTCCAAGACACCAATCTTTTCCAAGGATTGAAGAACCTTACGGTTGACGGAACCAGAAGCATCAACGTGGTGAGAAGGACGAGAACCACGGTTGACGGTACCACCATGAACCTTGTTCAAGGCACCAACACCGACATTCTTACGGATGTAGATGTGGCGAGCGACGGAAGCTAATAGATTTTAGAAAACTGTGTGTATTGTGCAATGTTGTATAGCTATTTACCAGCACGGATATAGTACCAATCGGGATCATAGGGAGCTAATTCCTTGAAGGTACCAGTCTTGACGAGGTCGACCCACTTGGGGACTTCGAGCTTACCGGTACGCTTGAGGTAGGCAGCATAGGCCTTGATGAAAGCTAGAGATATATTAGTACTGTGCTTAAAGAGAAACAGAGAGCATGTCAAGCCAAGCCACAGAATTGTCTCTAATATCAACTGCTTCTGCCCGTTTCTTTTTCATTTTGTACGCGAGTTGTACATTTCCCCCCTTTATCATGATATGTAATGACAAAGAAGAAAAGCAAGTATAAATAACACTCTGTGACTTGACTTTTCCTCACTGTATTCCAACTGTAAATAAAAGGCCAAATATCATACCATGAGCATTGACGTCCTTAACAGTGATACCAGCCATTGTGTATAATTTCGAAGTTGCTAAAAAAGAGAAGGATTCTCAAATTGCTCGGCTTTCCCTACTTGAAAAAAAAAAATTTTCAAAAAAAAATTGGTTGAACCCCGCCAGAATATCAAGTCACACTCATAACCCAGTTTTAAGTGGCCTATTGTGGGATATTTCTTTTTCTTTTATCGCAATACAATCGTGTTTCTAATGTTTGGAACCAAAGGATAGTAACTTTACATAAACTTATCATGCAGTCGTAATTAGAAGCTAAAAACATGCATATGTGCGTGCATGTGCTAGTGGGAAGAAAGAGAGAAAGGTCTGGCGATGAATCCCTTTCTTGTTATGCTGCAGACTGTTTAAAAATGCGCTTGATTGGGGAAAAACTAACGATCATGACAAGGAAATGAGTATCTACACCAAGATCGAAATTAAGGGAAAGCTTGATTCTTTAAATAAGGCAAGATCATTCATTGCTATAAAGAATACAATCATGCACTCCAAAAGGGAAAACAATCATATATGTTTGTGACTGCAAGCCTAAATGCATAAATTACGCCTTTATATGTTTATTTATCTTTTTTTACTACCTTGTCATGTCAGAAGCCAACCCTTTGCAATTCTCTACGCCAAAAGATGTGGTCGAAACATCACTATTTTCCTTTCATCCACTCTTTTATTTGTACTTTATGCTGAGCTTTTTCTTTGTGCCATACCCATTCTATCGATGGATCGCAACTAGATATAAATGGGAACTGAATACAAAATCAATAGCGAGACATTGTAGTGATATCATGCTAGGGATGAATTACGGGTTGATCCTATTTACATTTGGAAATTACACTCATACCTTTAGGTTAGTTAAAGACTCAGACTAAAAAAAGGAGAAGAGGCCATTACTGATCTACTTGATTCCTGCCTTTAGTTGGATTACTGTTGTTGCCTTTTATCCTTCCCTCTTTGGCTATGGTCTCCTTGCTGAGCTTCCATTCGCGAAACAATCGTTACCTAATATAAAGCATTGGCCCAAGGGTATGTGGGTTATCTTTCTTACTGCACTTGGGTAAAAAACGTTCTTTTATTTTTAATATACAATTGAATTAACGAGCAATAGTGTCATTCTAGCTTTCGCGGGTGTTCACATCTATTTTGCATCACAGCTAGAGATGCCTTTTGTTGTTTACTACGTATGTTCCTTGCTGATCCCTATATTTTTCTTTGCAACAGCCATTTTACTTAAAAAGGAAGTTAACCAAAATTGGCTCAGGACGTTCTACGTGACACGGATAAGCCGACGTCAAAGATTGGACACAGAAGATAGTCAGCCTAAAAATGACACGATACCCTCACCATATGCTCATACCATTAGTATTCACCTTCATCATTGGCAAATATTTTACGTATTGGCATTCTTTACAAGGTTGCATGATTTGTCTAAAAAGTACGATGCATGACTTACTTTTAACTCTAGATTTACCCATCCTGTATCTCAAGTTGCAGCAGGAATTGTCATTGCTTGTTATATGCAAGGTATTTGTGCATGTAAGTCAAATACATGTCTGTTTTCTCTATTTGGTTAACAATAATAGACGGCTATGATCACTTGGTCAATGATAACATGTAATAACCTTTATTCAATAAACACATTAAAACGCGATTTCCCAAACACGAACAGCTGCGTCTTGACCCACCGAAACGACAGCCAAGCTATTTGTCTTTTTCAGGAATCGGACGCTATTGACAGCATCAGCATGCGCATTCTTGATTGCCGCCTTTTCTCTAGGCTTTTCACGGTTCCAGATATAGATGTTGGTATCAATACTACCACTCACCAAGTAGTTGCCGCAGGGGGACCAGTTTAAGGAGGTGATTCTGCTTGTGTGGAATACCCAGCTCTGGATGACCGTCGACTTGGTCTCAATATCATACACAAAAATCTTGCCGACACTATCTCCTACAGCGATCAAGTTGAGTTCAGGATGAACGGCAAGTGCGGTGATGTTGCCCATGTTTTTGGAAAGTTCGCCTGTGACTGTAAGCTGTCCGTCTTCCAAATTATAAATACGCACTTTACTATCCGTCTATACACACATCAATAATCAGTCAAAGGTAGCATTAAGATTTTATCTCTTTAAGTACCTTTCCGCCCACATAAACTGTTTTGCTATCAGGACTAATGTCTGCTACTGAAGGCGTAAAGTCTGGTTTTTCGATTTGTCCGACCTTTTCCAAGTTCTCGTTGTAGACATAGACTGTTTCTGGGGTTGTGACAACGACTGTCTTGTCTTTGGAGATAGCAGCCGAGGAAGGAAGGGAGCCTGTTGATGTTATCTTTTCACTTTTTTAATTTTTAATTAGAGAGATTAAATTTGAACAATGTATGGGCAGTATGACATGTACCTGAGATTACGTGCACTCGTAGATCCAAGACGCAATGTGTCATCCATGCCTGTGGTGACAAGCACATCGTCATGAGTAAGGACAGTAGTCACCTGGTTCTCATGACCTCCTTCAACAAAACAAGCTTCTGTGCGTTCTTGTTGACTGTAATCCCAACTGTAGACGCGACCATCATAAGAACCAGTGAATAAGGTATCTTGTTCTGATACAGATAAGGCTGTGATTGCTTTAGCGTGTCCATCGACATGACGTGAGATACTACCACTGTTCTTATCCAGATAATGCAACTTGCCCGAGAGTGATGTAGTAATCAAGTAGTCACCCTTCCACAAGTTACCTACCTGCTGATTGTTGACAGGATCTGAAGCCGAGTTGATCGTGAATGTGCTAATATACATATTTAGTCATTGCTCCCCTTCACATGCATCAATATAAAGGCTTACTTGACGACTTTTTTTGCGCCAACATCCCAAATCTTTGCTGTACAATCTGCAGAGGAAGTTAAGATTTGGGTGCTATCGTCTGACCAAGAGAGGGCAAAGATGCCACCTGTGTGACTGTCCTCTACTTGAGAGAGTTCACTGACCTTATCTCCCGTTTTACCGTCATAAACAAAGATTTTTCCATCCGCGCCTACACTAGCAAAGAGATCACCATTAGGCGAGAACTTGACATCATGTACAAATCGACTATGGTCGCGAATTGTCTTTTCAAATTTGAAAGGTACGCCATGAAAGAAGCTGACAGCCAAATCGTCCGAGGCGGTCACGGCACGGAAGGGACGTTGGTGTCGGATACTGACACTGTTGATCACCTTGGTGTGGCCAGTGATCTCGCCTACGGAAGAGAGAGAATCAAACATGAAGGCGTGACCGAAACGTTCTTTGCCATCGCCTACAGCAATGATACGCTTGCTTTCACTGTCCCAGGCAAGGTCTTTTATTTTACCAGAAACAGGTCGGATTTCGCTCTTGAGAACGTGTTCTTCATTGATGGTGTCCCAGATACGGACGTTACCCTGAGCATCTGTTACGAGCAAAGAGGTTAGTTTTTTTTTTTTTGTTATTGTTTGTATAGTATACCTCCTGAAGCCATGTAATAACCGCTTGGACTGAAACGCGCAACGGTCGTTTGTGCTTTGTGTCCAGCATATTCGGTAGCAATAGAAGGGTTCTTTAAAAAATGTTACATGATTTTTATCTTTCTTTAAGAGTAATTATTACCTCCAAATCTCTAATGAAGACAGACCTTCCATTAGTATAAGCAAATGTCTTTCCCTTTGGGTCCGCTTCGAGCTTGATAGATTCACCACGACTGGTATAAGGAAGAGGAGCAAACGTGTATTCTATTACAAGTAAATACTTTATTCTATTTCCTCTTTATAAATATATATTTACTTTTGGTGTAAGTAGGCATAAAGAACAACTTGATGTTTTCGCCACTGCCAAGCTCAGTAACCATATGAACTATTCATGCGCCGATTCAATATGTACATGTACGCACCACTTTCTCTATACTCAAAAAAAATGCATAATGACGTAGAGACAAAATGAGAGAGAGAGTCGAAGCTCAAGTTTATTAATATGATGAATGTTTAATCACTTTATGCTTTTAGATTTTAAAGCTTTTTTTTTCCAAAGGACGACAAAGAAAAGAAAATGCCAAGTCTCACAAATGCGCCCTGCAGAGACTGTGTAGATAAAGACGCAAGAATTGGGGATACCCGGGAGAAGACAACAGCAGGGGCAGATAAAGAGACATGACAGGTAGAGGAAACAGGGTTGGCGGGCGTTGGCAGGTGAGATAGAGTGACCCTCTCTACCAGAAACATTCACTGGAAGGAACAACGAAGGGGACAAGTGGAGCGAGTAGGGCAAAGACTGAGTTGTTATGCAATCATATCAGGCATATGTGGATACAAAAGTGCAAATGTGACTTCCTTCTCACATTTTGGAAGAGAATGCGATGGCATATTTTAATACATGATTGAGATGGTTGCATTGTTAAGGGGGTCATAGCATGAATTTTATTTAAGTTATTGCCAAACATATTAGCCTTTTTTTCTATTTGAATAAAATGCTACAATGATCTTTATGCAATTTGAGTAAAGCCTGGGAAAATAAAGACGAGTATCCGCAGCATGAAGTGGTACCTTGGTTGCTTAGCTTGGTTATTGAACAAAAAGAATGATGATTGGCTACAACCCCTTTATTCACATGACATCTGTCGTCATTTACTATTATTATTTTTATTTTGATTATCTTTGGATCATGTATTTCCTTCTTTCTTGTCAATCTTGTTTTCAATCGAATTCATTGGCTCAATTCGTTTGAGTCATTCTTGTATTGAACAAAGATAAAAAAAACAAAAAACAAAAAAAAAAGAAAACAAACAGCTAAAGTCATGAGGACTTCAAAACAAAAGATAACAAAAAAAAAGTGATTGACATCCAATGACATTGTTTACTTCCAAATAAAGGCAAAACAGATTTTTTGTATGTAGTTTGTAACCATGCAATTTGAACTATAAATTCCTCTTTTTACCTTTATTTCTTTTTTCTTTTTTTTATTTATTTATTTAAAATGAAGATTGGATTAGCTATTTTATGTTTATTTGCAAGTCAAGGTTTAGGTTCAATTCTCCCTGGTGATAGCAAAGTTCACTATCGTCTTGGTTTATCTCGTAGCTTTGGCCCTGATTTGGCACATAGAGAATACAAGTTATATGATACTGTCGGTAATTTCCAAGGTACCAAGCGATCTGAATTAAATGCAGAAGAAATTGCTATTGAATTTGCAAAAAGAGAGTTAACAACAAGTGATTTTATCGTCCAAAGTTCATATAAAACCGATCTTAATGGTGTGACGCATGTTTATTTACGTCAAATCGTAAACGGACTCGAAGTTTTTAATGGCAACATCAACATCAATGTCGATCGTTCTGGCCAAATTATCTCAGCTGGTAACTCATTTGCTCCCACTAAATCATCAGCTTCTTTCTTCAACCAATTCATCTTTTCTTCTCCGTCATCATTCTTTAATGAACCAAAGAACGTCATTCCTCCTCAGGACGCAATCCTGTCCCTCGTTTCTTTTGTCAAAGGGGGTCATCCAGTCGATCCAAATGAATTTGTTCAACTCAATTCATTCAAGGACCCTGATGTGATGATGTTTGAAAATGTGCCTTATGCTGAATCTCCTGTAGAGGTCAAACAAGGTTACCTTCAACTAGATAATGGTCAACTTCAACTTGTTTGGGACATTCAGTATGAACTACAGGATAATTGGTACAATGGTCATGTGAATGCTTATGATGGCACAGTCATCAGTCTAGTCGATTGGGTCTCTTCTGCTTCCTATAGAGTCATTCCCTTTGGCATAAACGATCCTACTGAATCTTCACGAATTTTACTCAAGAACCCTCAAGACTCCTGGGCAAGTCCGTACGGCTGGCACGTTCAAGGCATCCAGAGTCAAGGTGCTCAACCATTCAATGTGACCATAGGCAATAACGCCTACACACATACAAACCCTGATGGTGGTAACAACTGGGAGAATAACTACCGCCCAACCGGTCAATTGGACTCAGATGATGATATCACTTTTGACTATGAAGCTGATTTCGATACTCAGGAACCCGTCGACTATCAAGACGCTGCTGTTACCAATCTCTTTTACTGGTGTAACGTTGCCCATGATTTCTTCCATCGATACGGATTTGACGAAAAGGCTGGTAACTTTCAGCAGAGTAACTTGGGCCGTGGTCGTGAAAAGGATAATGGTGAGAACGACGCAGTCATTGCCAATGCTCAAGATGGATCAGGTAGAAATAATGCCAACTTTGCTACCCCTCCTGATGGCAAGCATGGCAAGATGAGAATGTACATCTGGGACCAGACAAGCCCTATGCGTGATGGTGACTTTGAAAGTGGTATTATCATCCACGAATATACCCACGGTGTATCCATCCGTCTGACTGGTGGCCCTGCCAACTCAAACTGTCTCAATTGGAATGAAGCAGGTGGTATGGGTGAAGGGTGGGGCGATTTCATTGCGACGGTCATTCGTATGAAAAAGGAGTACACCCGTGATATCGATTTTAGCATGGGTAATTATGCAAATGGTGGTGAAGGCATTCGTAAATACAAGTACTCTACCTCTATGAAGACAAACCCAAGCACTTACAAGATCATGGACCGATTTGACTATTGGGGTGTTCATGCAAAAGGTGAAGTATGGGCCGAAATGCTTTATGAAGTCTACTGGAATCTTGTTGATCTTCTTGGCTTCACGCCTGACTGGTTCCCACCCGCACCTGAGGATACATTCAAGACGGCTATGGACTCAGATGATCTTCAAAAAGTTCGTGATCATATCACATCATACGGTAATACACTCGCTGTTCAGTTGGTGATAGATGGACTGAAGTTGCAGCCATGCAGCCCTACCTTTGTCGATGCTCGTGATGCCATCCTGCAAGCTGAGCAACAGTTGACCCAAGGAAAGTATTATTGTGATATCTACAGAGCATTTGCAAAACGTGGTCTAGGTGTTGGTGCTAAAGTCACTCAGAGAGGCTGGCTGGAACAACGTACCGAAAGCTTCGAACTTCCTTCTGCCTGTCAATAGAGAGAGAGAGATCATTATCATACATACGTTTTGTATGTAATGTTTTTATGTTAAATAAACCTTTATTATTTATGAAATATCCATAGTTGATACACTGTTGTTATTTGTATTGGTAGTATTAGTATTGGTATTCACATTGGTAACATTAATTGCTGCACTATTAGAAGCATTATTGCTATTGCTATTATTATTAGTAGTAACTGTGTTGCTTGTAGATGCTGATGAAGATGTATCCATTGAGACTGTAGCATAAGCAGGCAAACTAAAGTAAGTTCCCACATCAGCAATTCTTGTAAGATCTGCCAGCATGGTCACTATTTCTGCAGTAACATAAATGTTTTCAGGCAAGCTAGGCGTTGATGTAGGAAATGACTTGGAAAAAGCAAAGTTTTTAAACAGTTCTTCATGGCTCATTTTTACATACCTTTTCATCTTTGAAGGAAGAATGGTATCTCAATATAAATCCACAAAGTACAAATCGAACAATGAAATGGTACAAGAAATCATCCGTCATGAACCGCTTCACACTCTTATCCACGGTTGCATCCGCCAAAAGCAACTGACCGATCGTCTTTTCCATAATCGACACCTTTTGCACGCACTCGTCCCATTTTTGTTGATCGAGATTGCCGATATCTGAAACAGAACAGAACCCAAGTAATGGTGTGTGCAGAAACAAGGTGAAGAGACTGCCTATTTCGCTCTTATCCTGTACAGACGAAGGATACTCTGTAGGCGACATGAGACACATGAACGGTTGGCCAAAAATGCTAGGCATGTTTTTAAATGCGATACTGTAATCACTATCAATAATTAAGAACAGAGGCTTTCGAGTAAATGGGATAAGATCTGCCGGATGTAGACAGTGAACAGATGGGACTTCTGTATGCTTGGGCGTTGATGTGCTTCCAGAGGATATACCTACGCCGCTACCTGTGGCTATACCACCTACAGCTGCTGCTGTTCCTGCCATGGATGAAGATAATCCACTGGTTGTAGCGCCAGCAGCTACTCCAGTGCCCGGTCCTGTGTTGGAGGAACCGGGATGCATACTATTTCCCGCTGCTATAGACGACGAAGGTGCATTGCCGACAGGAGAACTAGCCGTCATTGTGCCGCTGGCTCCAGAGTTGCCAAGATTTGCACTGTTCGACGAAGGAATGGCTGTGCCTTGAGCTGCATTGGTCGTGTTTGATGCATGGTTACGATGATCTCCTTTATGCCGCTGACTTGTCATCACGCCTCCGCCAAAGCCCGGAAGCATCTGATCTGAATATCCACAGCCGTCGGCCGAGAGATAGAGCATCAGCGCACTGTGATCTCCTGTGTCCTTGAAGGCAGCCGAGATATAGACCAATAACTGACTGAGCGAGGGTCGGTAGAGCAGATACTTGTGTGGATTCGGCCGTTTGGGTTTATCGCTCGATAAGAAAGGTTCCCTTTCCAACGACTGAAGCATACGGTACATATCCAAGGTGAGCTCAGAAAATTTGATCTGCTTTTGGTAATTTCCGACCAGAATGGCCTCTTGAAGTCTCAGTTTCTCGCCTGGTCTCTCTTCAATACTATGCCTCAGCCTGTGTTCGATCTTATCTGGGGTCTTGTCGAGGTTGATAGGGACTAGTTTTTTTTCTGCCTCTGTAAATGTACTGACTTCTTCTAACACCATTTGCCATTCCTTTGCGTCAGGTGGCTTGAAGTTCTTGATGTATTCTTCGATCAGACCTTCCAATTCGCTAATGAGCTTTTGAACGCTTCCACTTCGGTTGAGTAATAAACAGACGATAATAAATCGTGCATAGTATCTCATCTTTTTGATCATCAAAGCTGAGCTACATATAAAATGAATAAATGTATCCTCATGGTCGTCTCTCTTACTTTTTTACTTCTAGGACGTCTTTAAAGTATTGTCTTTCATGGATAGCTTCGTAAAAGACGTAGGCTTCATGCAAATAATTGGTTTCGCTTGTCCTTAGGCTTACATAATGAGCTTTAATTTCTTTCAAGTATAAACAATTTCTCTCTCTCTACTTACTAGTAATGATAATACAGCTGTCCAATCTTGCTTGCAATCTCACCTACTTCCCATCGTTTTAATCCATAATTAGCCTTGTCTTCTAATATAGGTCGGTGTGTCTGTTGAAACTTCCATAGCTTTGTATAGACTTCAAAGGTCTTTTCAAAATACTATAGATTAATAAAATAAGAGAGCTGACAGTAATAAATGGATTTTTTCTTACAGGCCTCCATTGTCTATGACTTCCCGTTGGAGGCAAGTCTCGTAGTCCACTAAACAGACTTTGACTCTTTTCCAACAGATACTGAAACTCCTCTACAAGCTTTTGGTTGCGCATCGTTTGTTCTTCACCCTCTGCATTATTTGTTACTGGTACGGCCTGTTCTCTCTGTTGCTTCTCAGTTGCTGTACTGCTATTAACATTTTGTGTAGCAGCAGCAGAGGTAGTAGCAGTTGTTGCAGTTGTCGTATTTGAAATGGTAGTTTGTAAGGAATCTAGTGAATGTAAGCCCGTTTGTTATAAATCTCCTCTCTTTCCTTTACCCATAGACTTCATATTTGATAGCTCTCCTTGCGATGCATTTTCAGGTTTTTTATGTTGATCCATTCCGGAAAGTCGCTCAGCAGAGAAAAAAGAAAGTTTGGCTTTTCTTATGCGAGGAACGTGAATTGAATGCGTAAATTTAAAGGCCGAATACAGACAAAATGTGCCATGCCCTTGAGTGTTTTTACATACAGATTTGAGGGAACGAATATGCTGATCTGTAGTAATTCGTCTAAACCAGAATTAGAGTGTATGTAAAATAGATATGGACATACTTAACCTTGGCTCGTTCCCAACATATGAGACTAGCGCCACGGTTTCCTTTTTCTAGTGAAATACGATTTGCTGTTTTTATTTAGGAAGCTGTGCATGACTTCTGCCACATTAAGCGCGCATGAGTCAAGTTATGCTTATGTGTGTCGAGTCTTCTTTATGATCATGTCACCCTCATCATACACATTATTATATCTATTACAAGTTTCTATTTTAGTCTCTCTTTTGATATAAATAATATAAGCATCATAAACACGTCAATGCCACAGGACGCCAAACGTAAAGTGACACACACACACACACACACACACACAGAATGAGCGACACCGCGGAAACGGTCTTCAAACCGATAGATGAAAGGTTGCTCATTTTGGATAACGTCCAATCGGATCACTATTTTTTGAAGCAAATAGTCATCATCTCTTTATATTTGATAAAGGCATTATCTTTAAAAAAGGTTCATTTAGTGCAAGGTGAAGCATAATTTACAGTTTATTATGATGTTCTTGTAAACATATACACATATATATATATATAAATATATACATAAAAGATGACATATATATATAATCCATACAAAGGGGGAGAAAAAAAAGAGAAGGAGGGGGGTAAGTCATAAGTGGGGGAATATGAAATGAGTGTGAATTGTATATAAATAAAGGCGAGATTAAGATGTGGTACGTGTAACACGGAATTGTGTGCCTTTGTCGTCGCATGAACAAGAGTAAATGGAGGATACATCAGATAGGGAAGATGAAACTGAACTTGCAGATGATAGTGACTGTACTAGTGGATATGGTCTATACGCTTTATATGCTAATGTGGGTCGTCGATGGTACGAAAAGTATGAATCATGAATAGTATTAGTTGTTGTTGTTGTTACTGGAAATGGGTCATCTTTAGATGCTTCATTTGACTGACAAGAAACTGAACAAAATGCCATATTCTAAATAATAATAAAATTAACTTATTAATTTTTATATTGAATATGAGTTTACATCATCAGCAAGTCTCTTTTCGCAATATAAGCAATAGTTCATTTCCATTGTCGTTACAAAAATAATATAAAAAAGAGAAAAAGAGAAAAGGGGTGAGAAATTATAAAGTTAAAAGATAGCCAAAAGGGCCAAAAAGATAGGATGACCTAAACTGTCTGAGCGAGTCACATAGTTTTCTCTCTTTCTCTCTTTCTCTCTCTCTTTCTTTATTAAACACTATTTATCTCTTTTTCTCACGCGTGCAACTTCATTTTTTCTTTTATTCATTTTTTTTGTCTTGCTTCCCTTTTTGAGTTCGCGTTAAATGTAAACAAAAAATGTAACTGATCGCGCATACGCGTATATAGTGTTTATTTATGCTTTGTTATGTATTGTAACAGATCTACCCCATATTTATCAATGACACATAAACATTATTATTATTAGAAAAAAGACATTTCTTATATACAAACTATTTTGCAGATCCATCATTTTTATCTTGTCCTTCAATAAAATAAAAAGTGTGTAGGTTATTTTAAAAAAGTCATGATTGGTTCTCATGGGGAAACACAAAAGAGGGGGGAATAAAGAAATTCCATTATAAAGCTTATCGTCACGAGAAATCATAAATAAAAGGGCCCCTTTTTATTTATTTTTGTTGCAAATGATCAAAAGAGTAACACAACAAGAATCCATGTGAAGCCATCAGATGAAGTTTATAATCCAAGTTGAGCAGCAAATGAAAGAGCTACCTGAGCCGCCATCTTGCGTCTTTCTTGGTCTGAGAGGGTTTTACCATGTTCTCTCATCGATTGTAGCATTTGAAATGTTTTATCCAAGCCATCTTCTTCATCTATTGAACCAAATAGCTTACTTTGCATTTCACTAATTTCAGACTGAGACGGTAAATCTATATATATCACTATTAGACAGTTTGTATATACATGTTTATGATGTATCCAAATTTACCCATATCCTCTTCTTCTTCTTCTTTATATAGCTGTAGTTCCTGAATTTCTATATATATATTGCACATGAGTATATGTCATATATACTATTCTATATATTACCTCGTATCAGATCCTGTTCCTCTTCTTGTTCTGTCATCTTCTTTTTCTTCTTTTTCACCATTCCTTCCCAGAGATTGGTTTGAATGATATCCAATGCTAATGCAATGCCTACTTTATCAAATGGTACATCTGATTTTACTTCATTCATATCAACATAATCAAATGCATGAGATAAACACCAATCATTCATTTCTGCTGCCTTTTCTTCCTTTATTGAACCATAATTTATGCACATTCGAATATTAGGCTCTGCTTGTTCTAAAAATGGTAACCACACCTTTATACTTTCAAAATGCTCTGTCTAATGATAACAATGTAAGTCATCATTGATATCCTTTGTCTTTGTTCTTACTTCTTTCATAACAAATATAAAACAATCCACTGCTTTGATCACTTCTTCCTTTTGACTATAGGCTTTGGCTGTCTCTTGTTGATCTACCTCATCTACCCAAAGGTCGACATTGGCAGTATAATATTTTGTGTCAATCTTGTAAGGTATTGATATTCCTGTAATATCACCCTTTGTTTCTTCCAATCGTTTATCAATCAAGCTGTCGGGAAAAGGTGAATTCGATTCCTTGAAGAGATCTTTCTAACCTGTGTCAGTAAATGTTTAAACATAATTGATCGCACACACCTTTAACAAACTGAAGTGATTGCCCATTTTGTTTGCTTGTAACGAGTATTTTATTCTTTAAAGACATTAAAAGAAGATGAAAAAAAAAGAAGGATATACGCGACTTGAATTATTTTTGACATGTTTATATATGAGGCGTAGCAGGTTCATTAGGCTTTTTTCTACTTTAATGTCTATCAACCCACCACCTCGAGGGAAACCGATTAATATCGAAGAGTTAAAACGGCTCAAACAAGCTAAAAAGGAAGCCAAGAAGGCCCTCAATCAATCTAAACCTCCTCCTCCTCCTCTCAAACCTTTACGTCGTGATTTCAAAAGGGTCAATGACCAAGGCCACCGCCATCTCATCAGAGTCATGTCCTTTAACGTAAGGGAATTTTTTTTTTGCTTCTATATTTTATATCTAACTTATCCCTTTCTTGTGTCGTAGTAGATCTTGGCTCAAACGCTTATCAAACGTGAACTCTTTCCTGATTCTGGAGATGTGCTGAAATGGGTAAATATACAAAACTGCCACGCAGCAAAAGAAACTAATGGCTATGTAGAAAATCAGAAAACAAATGATTCTTGAAGAAATTGAGTTTTATGACGCAGATATTATGAGCCTGCAGGAAGTGGATAATGTGGATACGTTTTATAAAGAAGCGTTATCTAAACTAGGTTATGAATTGACATTCTACCATTATCCTAGCAAACACCATGGTAATAATAATAATAACAATAACAAGTTATTAACTTGTTAATGCTAGGCTGTGTTATTGCTTTTAAAAAGGAAAAGTTCAGTCAAGTAAAATATGCAACGATAGATTACAATACAGATCCTCTCTGTCCTCCGTCCATCTTAACAGGAAATGTGGCTCAAATACTAGCATTAACATCTAAAGAACATCCAAACACTGGTTTCGTTATCGGAAACACGCATCTCTATTGGAGGCCGTCGTGCAACTATGAACGATTGAGACAGACTGTTATCTTTGTGAACAAATTACTTGAATTCAAATCTGAACTAGATGATGATATGCAATGGATATCGTTGCTTTTAGGAGGTATGAAGATATATATATGATGTATCTTCATTGTATTCTTATCACCGAGTAGATTTTAATTCGACACCTGATGATCCAGTCTATGGTATTCTCACTGATCATGCCCTGAGTGATGACCATATCCAAGATTTAAACAATTCTCTAATGGTCACACTGACAAACCAAGGCGAGTCAGACGAAGAAGAAGAAGAAGGGAAATTAGAGAGCAATGATGGTGTATCTATTGACCCTGATGCAGTGATTAGTGTGAATAAATTGGTATCGCTCTATAAAGGCGGCCAATGGAAAAGCGTGTACAGTTCTATCGCTAAAGTTCAACCAGATCAAAGTGGACTATTAGGTGAACCTAAATTTACAAACTATACTGCTGCCTTCAAGGGACCTCTAGATTATATGTTTATACAGCACGACATGCTTATCAAAAATATTCTCTTACTTCCCTCAGAAGCCAATCTCAAGCCATCTTTGCCCAATAGAAATTTTGGCAGTGATCATCTTTGTCTGGTGGCCGATTTGGAGTTTTAATTTTTCAATAAACCTTTCTCCCCCCCCCCCTTTTTTTTTTTTTTCTTGTTCAACATTTTACAATGCAAGTTCAAATACTTGTTCCACGGCAGGACAAAAGGTTGACGCTTAATGTTGAAGAAGACGAAGCAGTATCAAGCCTTCGAAAGCGAATAGCTAATTTGATCGAGTTGAATAAGAAGGACTTTTTACTCATTTCACTTGGAAAAATTGTAATACATTTTAAACACTCGTATACTCGACTATTATTTATCTCTATTTTTAATAGTTAAATGATACCTGTGCAGACAGTCAACCTGCTCTAATTACATCAACCTATCGTATACGTGATAAAACTGCCGTGATTGTCCATATCAACAAGACGTTTGGACGCGTCTCGCCATCAGTCAAAAGATCTCTTCCAAGCCAAGAAGAAAAAGAAAATAAACCGCGTAAGCAGGATGTCATACTTGACCTAAATATTGTCACTGCACCATACGAGAACTTTTACTGTACACATTGTCATAACAAAGGCACCAAGTGTCCCGAATGTGGCTGTCGTCAATGTTTACGAAAAACGGGGGATCCACTCGTAAGCTTGGACTTCTATATATTGAATGATTCATTAACCTATCATATAGATTTGTGACCAATGTGATAGTTACTGGCATGCGCAGTGTGCAGGCTTATCAAAGATACCAACTGCTGAATATTGGTAAAGAATAAAATGAACAAGATTAACTGAGAGTCTCATTATTTTCCTTTTCACTGTAGGTATTGTCCAGATTGCATCAATACTGATGTGGATTTAATTATTGATAAAGAAAAGAAGGTGGCCAATGTTATGTCTTCATTGGATAACTTGATACGCATCAAAGAAAACGAATGTAACATTGGTATGTAGCTATTGATTTCGTTTTCTTTTTTCTTTTTTTCTTTTTTTAATGCCCTTTTTTCTTTCTTTCTGACCAGCGCCTCATAATCATGTCGGCAAAATTCCTGGTGTTTACTGTGGACAGACTTGGAGCAGCTCGAATCTTCTTACCAGTTGGGGTGTTCACAGGTAATCAAAAAAAAAGTGATAAACAGTACAGATATTGATGATTGCCATCAGATGTATGTCATTTTCTACTCGTATCGTCGGTAGTTATATAACAGGAGCTACATCGATCATGCTCTACCGTAACTTGAGTGGATTGGAGACATTTGTGGATAAAGGCTATGAATTTATTATCGCTGGACGTAATATCACTGCCAAAAATGACCCGGATATGCTCAAAAAGGTGCTCGTACGTCAGGACAGGGCTTTGGCACTTACTTGTGATGCACCACTGAATGAAATGACAGGCGGTGCGGCATATAATTGGAGAAACAGTCGACCCATACGTGTTGTTCGTGCAAGAAATGCAGTTCGTCCACCTAATGACTTTGAGCCCGAGCAAGGTTTTCGTTATGATGGTATTTACAAAGTAGTTAAATACTGGCCCACAATTTGTAAGGAAAAAAAAAAGAAGGTAAAATAATATACTAAAAAGCTGCTTGATAGTACCTAACCCTGATCGTGTCGTGTGGAAATTTATGCTACGAAGAGACGATGACGAGCTAGCTCCTTGGCTATCAAAGGCTGAAGAAGAACGTAAGAAGAAAGGATTGAGAATGATACATGAAGATGAAAAAAAGAATAAAAAACTCGTCAAATACAAGATACCCGCACGCATCCAGAAAATGATGGCAGAGGATAAAAAGAACCAGAGACTTTGGGAAGGCGTGAAGAAGCTCGAATTCTACTCCGAATACGAATTTTTGAATCACTTGTTTGAAAATGTGGTGACTTGCTGCAGTGGTGCATGTCCCAAGCCTATAAAGGTAATATGTTGTTTTTATTTGTTTCTAATGCTAATGTATAATAGAATCCTGCGGTGACTCCATGCAGTCATGTCTGTTGCATAAGGTGCTTAAAGCACACAAAAACAGAAGCTTGCTTTGTTTGTCGTGCGCCTATTCTCAGAAAGGATATAAAGATTGACGAAGATCTGGTCAAAATACTGATGGCACTTAATCCCGCATATCAAGCTCAGACGGATAAAATACCCTGCCCTGCATTAGGATATAGAAAAGCCAAAAGAAAGCATACTATTACTACAAAAACTAAGAAACCGAGAAAGAGATTGAGAGTTGTTATTGAAAGTTCTTAAATTATTCCCTTATCCTGCCGTAATGATTGTATATAAATAGTGGATAGCATTATGCATATAAATAAGGAGGGCTTCGTATTTTATTTCTTCATTATATACGTTGATGTTTTTCTTTATCTTCTTTGTCATTGAACTTAAAGAAAGATAACCATTGCCAAAGGCAGCTGAACCGTGGCAACTGTTGAAGGTAGGTAGACTTGTGTTCTTTTCCAGCAAGCATGGCAATGAGAGCACCACCAATACTACCACCGTCAGTCGCGATTTCTAGCTGAATACGCTGGCTTATATTGGGGCCAAACCAGTTGGTGAGAGACTGCTGGATACGGTTAGACATTGCAGGATATTTTTCAAAGGTGGATCCGTTGATGCCAATGACAATTGGTTCAGTTGACCTCAGTAGGTCGTCCTGCTGCTCGATCAAGGAGACCATGGCTGCGGCGGCTAACTGAGCAGCTCTATTGGACACGGACAAACAGATTTGTGTGAAAATGTCGAGGTCATGTAGTGTAGGAACGTAATTATCGTCTGAACGGAAAGAAAAATGAGAACTGAAGCGAGCGAGTCGCTCTTGTGGGGCAAGTTCCAAACAACTAAAAACAATAAGATACAGCATGACAAAAATAAAATGAAATTACCTTTCGATATCACTAGGAATAGCCGTATCAAATTCCAAAGGAACGTCAAACTCTTTGGGTCGATGACTTTGAAAGAGGTGACCTTGTTGGATGAGATCCAGGGCGGCCAGTCGAACAAGTTCGCCAATGTAGGCACCGGACATCATCTTTTCATAAAGTTGAAACTTGGGTTGACTGTGGTTTTTGTCAAGTTCGCGATCATACTTGTTGAGAGGAAGATAAGACTCGCTCCCAAAGATATCAATTTCAGTATTGATCAGCATCTTGCCCTCCTGTTGATAACCATGAAGTTTTGTTATTCGTCTCATTTCTTCTGGATAGGAAGCATTAACACCCGTACCATAGATAAACCCAATACGTGCCTTTGGATTCGTGTATGCGTGGGCCACAAGTGTTCCGACAGTATCGTTGACCAGAGCAGTGACCCTGACAGGAACACCCTATCATGACTGTGAGTTACAAAACAGAATTGTATGTCCGCCTTACTCTTCGTTGAAACGCCGCATGAAGCAGGTCGGACAGATCATGCCCTTCGAGACCCTTGATGGTGAAACCCTTTCCCATACGCAGAATTTTTCCTTTAGAGATGCTCGTTTGACTGTGAAATAGATGAGTCGACTTTTTCGTGCCCCATCTCATCTATGTCTACCTTACTCTATAGGGAAACTCCAACAGACGCCCATCGACAAAGGTTTGGATGAACCTAGTGTGTGAACAAGTTGAGCAACAGCAAGAGCAATCCAATCAAAGAATTCAGTAGCTTCACTCGTCCGTATGGGATCATTAGGAGCAATCGTTTGACGGATCTGAGTGACTTTAACCTTGGACTGACCTAGTAATTCGACGGCACACACACGAAGGGTGCTTCCCCCTAAATCCAATGAAAGAAACGTACCTGTTTCCTGACCTGTGGGCAAACGTGTGACATAAGAGGGGATCATTGTGGCCAGACCGGATGCTGAAGCTGTGTTTAGTCCATGATTGTACTCGGATATAAATCCTTGGACGATGGCTTTGAATGTTTCTTGACTTAGTTTAAACTCTTTATGAACCGATTCCATTTTTTGATATTAAGAAAGTAGAAAAGAAAAAGAGAAAAGAAGGAGGAGGAGGAAGAGAGAGAAAAGGGAAAAAGAGAAAAAAAAAATCATATGCACTGTATTAGGTTATACTGAGAAATAATACTTTTTGTTGTACGAATAATTATGTAAGCTATTGATTTTCCTTGAAATAATACCTTTTCAATTAATCAGGGAAAATAGGGGTGTGGGGATAAATATAAAAGGCATCTTGTTATTTTTCCTGATTCCGCTCCAAGAAATCTCGAGGTCTTCTTGCTTATTTGTCATGTTCTCCTTCGTTACTAGGCCGTGACTTGATTTTAAGATCACAGGGTGATTAAGTTTTATTACGCATTTCTTCTTGAGCTTTTGCAAAGATAGAGAAAAAATATTCTCAGTAGGGCAGTTACCAAAATTAGCCGCATGTTACATCACTTTTTGTATATGTTACTTTCGTCCCCTCTTCAATTGATCACACACTGTCATGAGATACATGGTTTGATCCTAATACTTAAATAAAGAACTAA